TTATAAGTCTAATTTTTTAGGTTTGATCAACTCTCTCAATATCCTGGTTTTATATTCTTTTTGATATGTTTGATTACAAATCTTGTTGTAATGCTCTTTATTACTTAACTAGCCATACTCTTCTCTTTCACCCTCTACGTTGATCTGTTTCCTTATTCCTATTTTCTTAAGAATTTGATCAGAAACAATTTTTGCTCAACCTAAAAAAGAACTTAAGGAACCTCATAACATGTCCATTGTTAAGAGACAATCAAATGATCAATATCTTAAATCAGTTTGTCTACTCAAAATGGATCAATCCTCTACAAAAAAACGCCAATCGTCCTTCTCACACCCGCGTTCCTGGAAGGGGTAGATATACTCACAAGGCACGGCGTAAGAGAGATTTATTCTCTACCATCAGATACACCACTCCCTGTATTTTACAGTGGCTGAAAGGTTCATGGTTTAGTTATGTTAAGAACAAATATGAAGCATCTCTGCAGCACTTAGCAATAATTCACAACATTTTTAAAGTACAGGATCGACATCCGCAAGTGGTACGCAACATTAAATCTGAAAAATACAGTGATGATTCCGTCTCGGAGAAACCGTAGGTGGAAATATGTGAACTAATAGATCAGAGCTACGAGACAAGGAATTTCAGAAGTGGAAAGGTTTATGCTAAAGAGAAATAGGTACAATGTGGTTTAATAAGTGTACGTTAACCAACTCATGGGTATCAAATAAAGGAGAACTCTCGAGTAGTGAATGGTCCAATGCCATTAAGACATCCATGAATTCAACGGCTAATCGTAGAAAGGGTGGGCGCAGCATGGATGGTACCGCCACTGTAGATTTCAAATTTTGCAGTGAAAATAAAATTAAAGAAACTCTAACACACATCCGAGGCACTTGTCAACGGATTTATTGCTCAATTTATCTCACCACCGGTTCCGAACCTTTATAATTAAAGCCGATCTTTTTCACCAGAAGACACTATTTGAAGTGTTTGAGGAAGTTCACTGTTTATCGATGAAAGATAATAATAACGTGGAAACCCGTAGTGCAGACATCATAGTAATTGAAATAAATAAAAACAGCGGCCTCATTCTCGACCCAACAATTCGTTGAGGAACAAATGATCCGCAATATTATAATGCAGTAAATGAAGAAAATAAAAGGATCTATGAGCCATATATTCTGTGGCTTCAACAACAGTATAGAATTAAAAATTGCCAAGTGTTTGGGCTTTGGTTTGGAGCTAGGGGTACAGCCTCAGGGTTCCTAAAGATATTCTTCCGATCACGCAACCTCGCTATGAAGGAGCTCATCAAATTATGTTGTTCAGTTTTGAAGGACTCGCTGTACATAATAAATTATCATTTATATTTATAGTTAATTAAATCTCTAGGTTTTATTATATACAAGTGTTATTTAAATAATTTATTGTTAATTTAAGGATAGCCATGAACCCTTCCTGTTATATACTACTATATTAAATTGTTAATAATTATTGTAAATTTCACTCTGTCCCTGTCTATATATATATTGATAAGTATGCTGTGTCTATTGGAAACTCACATAGTGAGCAGCTCGCTTTAGTTTAATAAAAGTTGTTTCTCTCTGTCAACAATATTTTATTGATTGGGTCAAAAAGCATGAGAATTTAATACAAGACTCTTGATATATTGTTACAATAGCAGTTCAAATATATTACAAATACATAGGCATGATTTTTTTTATAGGCATTTTAAGTTAAAATTTGGACATATACTAGCACAAATAATAACAATTTTTGTCATTTTTTTGTAACTCAGTTCCAAAACATCCTAATTTTACATAAGCGAGTGTATAAAAAAATTTTCTAGCGTCACTGATAATTTAAGAATAATATTAATTCAACTTACCAGCTATCGTATTAATAATAAGTAATAAAAATATAATATATCCCAGACTGGCATACCGAATCGTTTTTCGTATACAATGATATTAAATCATTGAATTCAAATTTAATACCATCCATTACAGCGACCTTCTGGATAATCGATGTACAGCAGAGCGACATCCACTTACCCGCTTTTCCACAATAATTCGAATAAAAAAATATTAATATAATTATCTAGATAACATTTTGCTCGACTTCGTGGCATTTTCTATGCATGTATTATATTCTGTAAAAATTCATTCACACTATTAATATAAATTATTATTTACTTATAACTTATTACCATACAATGCATATTATATATGTATACTTTATTTACTCGTTTCTCACATTATGTATTATTTATAATTTATATACCAGTTTCCCTGCAGACGATAAGCTGCACACATAAATGATTTTAAATTTACAACCTATTTATACAAATTGTGGGATCCCCATTTCTGGGTCTTACAATGACACACGAGTATTATATTTTAAAATTATAGATGCAGTCTGTCTGTAAAAAAATTATCTGCCATACCATACTAAGGCAATGCATATTTGAGATTTTAAAAATGTACGATTTTGATAATCGGATGTATTTGGGGGGTCGCCTGTAAAAATATTTTGTGTTCCAATAGCAATTTATAAATTGCTAAAGCTACAATTACACTGTAATCGCATCATGGCATATTTTAGTATCTATTTAATTTTCATAATTTCTTTCCACATAAATTTTGTGTGAAAGGGCAGTCAGAGAGACGACTGTAATCAGTATAGCAGAGCTAGCTGTTGTGGATACTTGTAATTTCTGTGCATATAACTACCTCTTGAGTTACTTATATTTACATTTATATTTTTTACACCTATCATAATTGTTGCAATACAATTTAGTAAAATACCTATAGTATAACGTTGAACTACTAAACATAAATTTAGTACCTATATATACTTCATATTGTTTTTTTTTCAACTTTTAATAGTATTATAATTGTATAAAATGTTCATCAAAGTATTACAATAAAAATGGATGTTTGGAACGTGACTTGTCGTATCATGCTATTGCAGTTGCTGCTGATCAATTGCATTATTTCCAGTAAAAATCAAGACGATGAATTTGTCAACCTCACTCTTACCACCAATAGTCCGGGATTACAGTACGAGATATTAGGGGAAGGTAAATTGTATAAAAGTAGTTGGACCATAAATACATTTATAGATTTAAAATATATAATAAATAGCCTTAGTGATATAAGGAGTATGTAATAATAATAGTTGTAATAATATTATACGTCAGTACAAAATTATGTATAAAAAAAGAGAAAAAAATAGGTCAAATTTAGAAAACATAAATTTAGGTTATAATCTTGTGCCCATTGCTCCAACAAAAACATAAATTTGACTTTGTATGTAAAAATTACATTTTAATATTTTATACATGTAAACTTCAATCTTTTTACATTTATTCATAACAAATAGTTACATTATACATTTTTTTTTTTTTAAATAAATTTTAGACATTTTTCATGTTATTTTATATTTTTATTGTGATATTTAATGCATTTTATATTTTGATATTTGTATAATAAATTATGGTTATTTGTTCAAATCATAAATCATAATAATATAATTTAATTTTAGTAATTTGAACGATTATAATACTTATGAGTGTAGTTGGTTAGTCATAATAGGTATGACATTTTGTTTTTAATAATTAAATATTTGTAATTTGTGTACAATAGATTATAATGTACCTAATATATATTATTATGTAATTAATGTGGCATTTGATGTAATTTGGTTTTTTTCTTATATACCTAATCGAAAACAAAAATTGTAGTAACTGTTATATTATAATCTATATATTATAATACTTGGTGTAAATATTATCATACTTTATGCTCAAATAAGTTCACCTAGAAACTAAATATTATAGAATATTTCAGATTTTGAAAGCAATCGCATTTCAGCTGTTTAACAGTTTTACAATAAGAAGTTTAAATTTTAAAATATGTGTAAAATACGGTAGTCAATATTCGTAAGTCAGGTGTACGAATACGACGAGTTCAATAATCAAATAATACGTAAATATAAAACAATATTCTTCGTTAATGATTCTGTTTTCCTTTTAAATTTTTCTTGTTTGTTATGAAATATAATTTCGATGCTAAAAATTACTTTTTTAAGACATTTTTGGCAAATTTATAGAGCAATGTTTTGATAGGTTTTAGGGGATTTACATCCAAATCTTTACTAAAAGAGCGAAATAATCAACAAAACAGGTATGGCATAAAAACATGGTTTCGTACTTCATATAATACGGCTTATTAAAGCGGTTTAAAGTAAAAATACCTATTATAAAAATTGTAGAGAAGAATTTTATCTAGAATCGTAAGAAGCCCGATTTTCGATATTTTTATTAATTAGTTAAATAATTAGTAGATAAAAAGTGTAAAAAACTTGTTAATATAACATGCGATATTGGACCATTGGAATACCATATTAAAAATCGGTTTCCTTACGAATCTAGAAAAACATCTCCATTACAATTTTTATAATAGGTATTTTTACTGTAAACCCCTTCAAATAGCCGCATTATTTGAAGTACTAAACCATGTTTTACGGTCGATTTTTTTCTACTGTGACGGCCTCTTAACAACCGATTGTTTAGCCTAAAAAACAATAATTGTGACATTTACGCCGGAAGGTGTGTCTTAGTTTTGCTTTAATGTTACCCTACATTAATGTTAAATTAAATTTAACGTCGCCAGCAGCAGAAAGTCTATGTCTGAGTCTGGTAGTGATTAAAAATACCGATTAAATGTCAATGTGAATTGTAATCGTCGATAACTAATCGATTTATAAATTACAATTTGAGTACAAAATGTTCTTCACAGTACACACTTTTAAAAGACGAAAATATAATTAGGAATAGGTACCCACACAGTCATCGAATTCTTTCAGTGTGCGTCACCAATTCACTTACACATCATAGAAATAATAATCATTGTATGTATTATAATATAAATCCACCTTTATGTCTTATGTTATAGGAACTGTAAATAATAATACGGTAAAACGTGCAAGAAAAAAAAAAAAAAAAGGTGGTTCAAAAAAGAAAAAAAATTCAAAGAAGACAACATATACAACATATGCATATACGACAACAAATGCAAATGCGACAACAAATGCAAATACAACAACAAATCTTCCATTAACTACCAGTAGCCATTCAGATACTAATGGTAAACCAATTTTTTGTAATTTTACATTTAACAAATTTTTAACACGTTTAATGAGATCAAACGTTATGAGTTATGACAATTATTGGCAGATATAGAGTGCACAATATTTTATGTGGCGTTTTATTTTTAAAAACAAAGACATTCCTTGACCTTATACTTTAGATTTGTAGGTATAAAATATATTTAACTTTACTGTAACATCATATTGTAAATACAATCAACGATGTCAGTGAGGTTTCAAACAACCGGTCATATTTTAATAAGCACGATGCACATGAAATTCAAGTTGTAAAAAAAAGTTCACTGCATTATTTCATTAATATGTTACATATTTCAATAGAGGTAGGTAATAAGGCGATCGGAATATATTGCCATTATACATATTTGATATTTAACTGGTTGGGTCTTCTCGAAGACCAGATCATAGGTTAGGTTCACTTGTTAGGTTAAATTCCAGGTGGTTAGATCTACCTGAAGGTTAGATGAGCAAAAAATTGTTCACTCAATAAAGCTCTAAGAAGGGAAAAAAAGGGTAATTAAAATAAAAGATTTTGGTTACAAATATACTAGATTTGTGATGTAGTATTTCTAACCTAAACTACAGTATTTAAAAAATAAGATAACTCCCTGATAAAGCAAATTCTGATTTCATCATCATTAGTATGGTGGGTCGGTAAAATACTCATAAATAAATCAAAAGTCGGTATAGGCACGCCACGCATCAGTTAAGTATAAAGTAGTGCGTATTCATATAAAAACGCAAAATGGCATACTTTGGAAGGACATAATTCGATTTTTTTCATCATCTTTCTTAACTCGTATTAAAACACATGTTTCAAAAAATAAAAACAAAAAATATGGTATGATAGCTAAACAGAAATTATTGTTCCTATGGTAATAAATCTAAATTATAATAAAATAAATACATACAAAAGATTAATCGAAATATATTGTTAAATGCTTATCGCAGAATAAAGTTTATACACATATACCTATATACATACCTTCAAACAAATAGGTATAAATTAAATGTTAAAATGTATTAGGTATATCATATAAAATATCATGATGTAGGTAGTACTTATTTTAAAAACATTAAACATAATTTTATTGATATATTTTAGTAAATGACATGGGTTATTTTAATACAATTTCACTAAAAAATAAAAGTCGTTTAATATATGGCCTCCTACCATTTTTACAAGTGTAAATCTTGCCAAAACCGATATAGGTAGTATAAATGGACATCATTTGTTTGCGTATTTACCTTTTTTGCGATTTGTTTGTTTACAAAATCACTACTACATTGCGTATATGGAGATACCTTCGGCAGCGCTAAAATAGCTCAAATGTAGAACTCATTTGCGGCCATCAAATGTAACAAAATTACAATTATTTTCATGTATATGGATTAGCAGTTGATTTATTATGCATTGTTCATAATAGTAAGTATTGATATGTTTAAAATTTATTATGTTAACCGTACTCTTGCCCATGGCGGGCGTAAACTATTTAATAAATAAATAAATAAATAAATAAATAAATGAATAAATTCATATAGTTTCTCTATCGTAGGCTAATCCCCGTAATTATGATCTACCGCCTGATCATGATCATTGACCTTTATATTCGTGATAAACTGAATAAACTGATAAAGCTAAGACGACATTTTATTTATGGGTGACTAGTAGTTTGATCTTACTATTCATTAAATTTTCTCGAACATTTTTTGTTTAATACAATTGTTCGTCATTATAATTATATACGGTTAATTTAACTCATACTTGTACCTTGCAAAAGACACGAAAATCAATGAAATATATTATAAAGTTAATGAAGATAATAAAAAATAGTCAATGCGTTCTACCACTCATGCATGTTCTACACATGCTGTGCGATTAGATGATAAACTCACAAAAATATACCAATTAGTAATTATTATTATTAAAACTAGATATGTGGCCGACAAAAAAATGTTTCTTTTTAAAATTATTATTTGTACCTATTATCAACTAGATTTTACAACTTTTGTATAGTACCTACCTATATTTAAAAAATGCAACAATTTGATTGATGGAAAAATTAACACACGTTATATTTTCCAGATTATCCAGTCCCTTACGACAACTTCTTCTACGAATACACGTTCGATGAATATGAAGCTTTAATTACGAGTGATCTTTATGCGACAATTTCTGAGGAGAATCATCGAAGTAAGTTTATATTTAAATAAATAAAACAAATAATATATTCAAATACTATGAGAAATACAAATGCAGCGAATATGAGCACATGTTTGATTTATTAAATCTCTTAATTCACTAAATTGCCTTAATACCTGGGTGGCTAGAGGTAGTATATTAGTAGGAATAGTGTACACCTACCTACGCATTACGTATCTTAAATATTGTCTAACACATTTTCAAGACTGGATTACTTGAATATCAAAAATAAAGTTATTTGAAAAGTTGTTCGTATGTGAAAATAAAATAATAACTTAAATTAATTATAAGTTTCAATTTTCAACTGTACATCTTAATCATGATAAATACAAACAGATCGTATAATAGCTGACATATAGATGTTGTTTCTTTAAGCTTAAAGCTGAAAATATAATTTATATCTATATTATAAATTAAGAAGACATCAATACGTTTTATTCATAAAATACATGTACCTACAAATATAAATAGGTATATGTCTGTTTATTAGCTTATATTTTTAAATATTAAATTAAATAACAAAAAAGTACCTGATTAGTCAGGTAAGCTGCGAGAGTAGGGTAATCGCGAGCAACCTAACCTAACGGGCAACAAAGTGCACGGGAACGGGATCAGCTAGTAATTTATAATTAAGTTTTACAATTTAATGATTAATGTGTGATTGTTATACGTTAAATTTGGTCACCCCTTTTACTGCAAGAATAAAAAAGGTACACACAAGTATTTCGTAAGAACTCGAATTGAAATTTTCATTATAGGTACCTAGGCAGTGGGAGGTCTCCTTATAGCGCCCTTGGTTAACATAGTTAAGAGCGTTTTTTCCCAGTATTAAAAAATTGACGTAATAATTTTTTTTTTATATTAATTATCGAAAAATATGTATAATGCTAAGCACGGGTTAGGCGTTTATAACAACAATTAAAGAAACACAATAATTTGTGATACGTCTTGTGATTTTTTAATAATTTCATCATTCAATCCGCAAGTAGTGTGAAAATAAACCAAATCACACACATTTCAAAATGTTATGTGTCTAATGAAAAAATGTCGTTTTGAAGGTATAGAATAAAAATACCACTTTTGAAGCTCAATTTTGCAGCCCTTCACAAATTGCACGTTGGAGTAGCCACAGTAAACAGTTCCCGGGCGTTCCCTTTTCGGCCAGTAATTTTTTTTATCGACATTGTCACCATACAAGTGTGTGAAGAAATAATAAAATAAAACAATTTTCAATTAACTGCTATGACATATTACATTAATTGAATACAAATGAATATATTCTTATACTACATATATAATAATAATTATGATAACAAAATATTCATACAAGTACCTAATTGATTTTCCATAATGCCTATAATATAATATATTATTATGTATCAGATAAGATGGAAACGATAAGGTTAGGTACCTATAACATACTGGCATTACTCTATAAAATACTACCATACTTTACTCTATTGCCTATACAGGACACATCACTATACTGATTGGGCCGCGTTTTACATTATATTATATCAAAAAACTAACAAGAAATAATACTGGTTTATCTTTATTTCAAAAAATCAACTATGAACGAAATTATACTTACATTGAAGACTGAAGACTAAAAGAATACTAAAATTGCCAATTGTTTTATTTTATTATTTTTTCATCCAGTTGTTCGTAATAATGTTGGTAAAAAAATTACTGGCCGAAAAGTGAACGGTAAGTTTTAGCTGAAAAGTGACACTGGACGAAAAGGGAAGTGTACATTTTGCTCGAAAACGGTGACGCCCCAGTTACCCATACTCTTGTTACACCATGACCTAGGTAATTTTACCGACATTTTACGAGATTCGAACTTCCACGACTCATAATAAATATTAAGAGACGTGGTTTTTAAGCAGTTTACGTAATACTGTGTATGATGTATAAACACGAGTTAACGTATTGTTATTCAAATTAACTGCAAACGGCTTATTTGTTATTAAAAATTGCAATTAAATTGACACTTTGACTATAGGTACACAACTAGTTTAAATAATTACTATATTTAAAAAAACTTAGGTATACCTTATTTAATTATTATCATATTTAATTTAGAATAAAATAAATGACATATATGTATTTTAATGACCAGATAAAATATGTCCACGATCCCCCATTAAGGGCTCCTGTCATAAACAATAAAATAATGAATAAAATTACATCAGAGAACTCTAAAATACAATCTTTGACCTCGATTGGGTTAATAATTATTATCAATATCAATAAAGGAACACAGTTTATATATTTCATATTATTTTAATTTATATTACCCTTATCTTGGTCATAAAGCAAGAGGACATTTTTTACCGTCGATTTCCAGTATACTGAGTCGGATGTACCTACACTTTTGTGGGTTAAAAATGTATAGATGAGAAGTAACATTTTATTTCAGAAATGATTAATTTCTAATGACACATACTATAATTTATAACTTTATTGGATGGCCGTGAACTTTAATCTCTAAAAATAAAGCAAAAACATGTTTTCAACCAATATAGAAATGAAATGCAAGAAATTATTTAAATCGTTGTAAAATTTGATTATAAAATCAACAATATCATTGTCTAGTATTTGACAAACAGATGAAATTGGTTGGGTATCTTAATCAATTATTCTAATGCATATTTATGGTGATGGACCCTGCAAGACGTGGTCAAACAGGTATATCATTAGCTTTCGTTAAAGTGGGGATGTCATCAGTCGGGGTCCGAATTTCTTACCTAACATGCTGTAACACAAAACTTTCACAGCACTCCTACTATCCCTAAACATCACTAATTATAATTACACCACGGTCAATAAACTTAAATAAAAATATTTTTTTTTCAATTTTTTTTCAAATCTTAAACACATAAGATATCTGTCATTAATAATGACTGGACTAGAATTTTAGTGATCTAAAATTCATAATTCATAAGAAATTAAAATGACTTCATATTACCCATAAAATACAGCTTAAACTGTAAACACCTTTTAGTTAATGATACCTATATTTTTTTACGAAAATAAGTTTAATATTTTAATTTTACTAACCTAACATATATTATATATTAAATTCACATTAATTTATTCATTAATTAAAATATATTTATTGAATTGTATGCATTTTAGTAGATTTAAAATCAATGATAAAATAATACTGTAGAATTTAAATAATTTTTTTTATACAAATAATTGCATTTGAATCTTAGATGGTTCTAGTCAGTACAAAAAAAATCGTTGTTAAGCTCTCCGCTTTGACAAGATTGTGAGACTTTGGATTGATCGATTTTAATGTTGTTAAAATAATAACATTTCTCATTATTTCCACTAAAGAACCGTTGCAGCATTATTTCAAAGTTTGAACCTTTTACAATATTATAATATCATAACATTTCAGTTTTTACAACATTTTTGCTCAATCATAATATGTATTGGAGAACATGAAATTTCAAAAAAACAATCATTATAATCGTTATTGCTACTGAAAAAAAACTTATTTGCACCTCTATTTGTACCTCTGTGTGGTGTATATATATAAATTATATTCGTCATAAAATTATACATTTAAACAAAAATAATACTACCCAGTGTATTTGTATACTGCCCGGGACAGTAGCGTACCTGAGAGCGGCACAGAGGGTCATTTGCACCTTCCAAGAATTTTTTTTCTAGAACAATTCATATTTGATCATTTATATTTGCTTTTGGATTTTTAATGGTTTTAAAATGAGGTATTTAATAATCCCGATTCCCTGAAAATGTTTCTGCACAGGTATGTCACTCACCAGGGAACTCTTTGGTATACAACCTACCTATTAGTGAATCACCGCATCATGTTATACACGTTGCGGTTCAGAGGAATGAAGCTAAACATGTTTTTATTTTTTTTTATAAATTAGCGCATTTTGTGAATAAATTTACAAATGAACAATTATAATAATATTGGGAAATCGTGCACATTCGAAGTGTACTTTGAACCCACCCCGCAATCAACAGCGTTATCTGCAATTAACTGTTTACTGTTTGTATAACTACACTGTACCGTACGTACCTGTTCAATATTTACAATTATGGGTTTGATTTATGACTGGTCAACCCATCCCAAATATAACATATTATAATGTAATCGAACCGATTTTTTGTTAACTTAAACGTAAATAGCCTCGTGCGAGTGACCTGCATGTGGTGCTGAATTACTGAAGGTTGTCTAATTGTACCATCTAAAATTAAGGGTGGCCAACGGGTAGAAGATATCTTCTCTAAATTATCGTTAGTCATCCGTCTTAAAAGTGCACGTACGTGATATATTTGGATTTAAGATCGTCGCTGCCGTCGCATGGTGTATACCTCCACGGTGAACGCGTCCGATTTCGTTCGTTGGACTCCGAGTTGGTAACTATAATTACTATGATTCGCAGTGTTCAATGTCATCTATTAATTGCTACACTATAATAGACCGTTTGCGAACGAAACTTCGAGACTCGTTCTTTATTAAATTAAACTTAAAAGAACACAGAACTGCGGTGTTGCATATAGTGAATCGTATATTATGCATGTACCTATTGGTGTATATATTTTGTGCATATACCTACCTACAACAGTTGAGTGTATTGGTAATATACAATCCGCCTTTCGTTGATGGAGTTCTTACATTTATTTTTCCCAGGCCGAAAATTACGTCTCAGTAATAGATTTGTCCAAATAATAGATAATATTACACCAACGCCTAGTTCATTATAAATTCATAATGTTTCGGTTTATCGGGTAGCACGTTTCTCGTATTAATATTAGTCATACGTCATATCGTTATAAATACTTTTTTGATATGTATTTAAAAAGACAATACCTATATTGAAGTATGTACTTGAATGGTCATTACATAAGCACATTCTGTACATTTAAACATATTTACTCATTAGGAACTTGTCTTGGATCGATCTTCAAGACCGGAATATAAGTCTAGATTATTTTTTTTCTGTTAAAAAAATTTATTTATTACAAAATAAGGATGGTTTTAATATAATGGAAAAACGCCTATAATGTATAATAAATATATACCTATAGATAATATCACAACTTTTAATTGATATTTCCACTACGTAGGAATGCGTAGGACGCGAAATTAACCGGTCTAAGTTCACAAGACTTCAAACTGCATAGTAATTATAATGTTAAAAATGTTTAAACATTATGTTAACATATTAACGAGAAATCACAAAATGTGACGAAATCTATCCGGCCCATGGACATGAAATTTATTTTTTACGATAAATTAAATGAGGATTTCAGTATCGCTTTTACTTTTGTCGGCTAACCGTGTGAATACATACAATTTTGATAGTCCCTGTAAACTTGCAGAATTCTTATGCATTATACAAAAATATTAATTTGTAACTCCTGGTATAGGCCGTAATGTTGTTGAATGCATTCTACATGTTGCACTCATACTGTCAAACGGTTAGGTTTATTGTTTTACGGACAAAATAATATTTCATTACTTAAATTAAATTATCGAAATTTGGGAAGTTTCAATATTCTCAGCAGTGCGTAATATAGTAATATGTTTATTTTTGGCAACGGTTTTATTTATTTTTTGGTGCACTCATGTAATTGAAATTTAGGATGTCGACATGTCTTAGGGGTAGGACTATAATAGAAGTTCCACAAAAGTTTCATGTTGAAGAACTTTTTGAATCGAAAAGCTCATCTCGTGTGTGTCTCCGAGACTAAAAGAGCCAGGAAGATACATTTTTAAAATTTCAAACTGGTCTCTTCGAACATGATGATAAATTTAAAGAACAATATTGCAAATGGAAAACACAATAATTTTTACCTAATGTTGTATAATTTTAATAAGTCAATCAAGAAAGAAAAAACCTTATTATTAAAAAATATACTTTAGGTACCTCTGCCTAAACGTTGGTATGTGACTGCACGATATTTTTCAACGCACCGACTTATCGACCGACTATATTGCTCAACTTAACCAATTATACACAGGCATTATAAGAACAAAGTGATATATGCTCTTCTTTTGGATTTCTTCGCTGTGGTTTTGATTCCTGAGAAAGCACACTCACTTCCTCCCCGCTTTTCTTTAATGATTAATTTATTAAAACTTTAATTTTGGAATTTATAGTTTATACTCAAGAATGATATTTTCATAAACTTAAATTTCGTATGAAACTGCGGTGACTGGTAATTCAAACCTTTTTGTGGAATCAACTTTTTTAATTTTTAAAACGAGAATCACCTTTTTTAAAGTGATTTTTTTTGATCAATTTTTATGTATGTAATCAAAATTCGAACAAATAGTTTCTATGTAATTACAATTTAATTTCTACGGTCATAGTATTATAATAAAGAAGATTCAGATGATAATTTTAGGTAAATTTTATTTTATAACCTATTATAAAACTGAATATTGGATTATCTTATATTATAGTTATATTAGTTATTATGGTCATATTATGTTCTGCCTAAATGGTCGATTGGAGAGGGTAGTAAAACTATTTTGATGAAGTCGTTTTTCATTAGTAAAAGAATCCATACACTTCGCATTTTTTTTTTTTTTTTTTGACAAATTCAACTTTATAGAGAATTTTCTTAAGTTTTTAAGGCATTAGTCAAGCTTTTAGAATAGTTTTCATTGTTCAAACGAACGTAAGTTAATGTTGTCCGAGTGTATTCTTGTAATAAAAACCAGTTTGTTAGTATAGAGATGTATACCTATTAGTTAGATAGTGTTTAAACTAAGTGTAGCTATATAGCCTATATTAAATAATATTATGTTATAGATACTTGCCAACCGCCGTTTTCATGTTTAAAAATAATTGAAAATGCTATAATAATACTCCTATATTTTAGGATCTTTAGTATCTATAACTTACAAGGCTTGTGCAAAAAAATGTCACCACTGAACACCACGTTTCAGTAACATCGTTTTTTGTACACATTTTTATAACCCATATTATAGGTAATGTCATATTATTATCATTAGGTACATGATTGTTTTAAAGGTATTTGTGCATATTTTTAACGCGCTTGTTGTGATTTTTTTAGGGCACTAAGAGCCCTAGTTATGACTAATACTAAATATGTATATAAAATCAAGATAATATAATAATCAATCACCCATTGCGCTTTGTACAATAGTGAACTGCAGATAATATTATTAATAATGACGATTGACTCTCGTTTGAGTGACCGAACACGGAACATGCAAAATATTAATAGTTTTCGTGGTATTTACACAGGTGGTCCGACTGCAACAGCCACACCGACTGAAACGTCTGCAGCTGCAGACCAAAATCAAACTACTAGTCGACACGATCATCAATTCAAGGTACCGGAAGTCCCTCCGTTGCGTCTCAAGTCGAACGCCGACCACAGTAATCGTTCGACGGCTGGTGCATGCGCATCTGGAAGTGCAGGAGTCAACGAAATCGAAGCTGCAATAAACTCTTTAAGGAGTAATGACCATGTGGTCGTCGATGACTTTCGCAGAGGTGAATACGTTTTCGCGGACGCACATCTTTGGGAGAAATGTGACTTTACCGCATTTACTAGTTAAGTGTGTCTTATTCGTATAATGGTTTATAACGGTAAATGTAAGTTGGGTCCCGATAAAGAGATACCGGGCACCGGCAACAACATACGCATAAGTTGCGGCCAATGATTTTGGCATGTATTATGTACATAAATTGCTTCCGACGAAAAATCCGTAAAAATAATAGACGATAATATATATTTTCTCCTTAAAAATCTCTTGAATAATTAATTTCTGAAATTTTACGTCACTAGATGTAGGTATTTAAAAAAAAATTCAAAGAACCAAAAACTAAATAATAACTGAAACTGAATTTGGTTGTATTGAGTTATATTCGTTTGCCCTATTTAAGGACGAAAACCTTTTGGTTACTCTGTGTATATACAAAATGTATGAACTTTTGGTAATTAATATATTGTATTATTTTAACATTATAACCGTGTATCTATTATTGTTGTAATGTTATTAATATAATAAATTAATTCATATTATAGTTTTACGAAGCGAAGCGACTACATTGAGTGAGATTACTCTTGTGGTTTAGCATTAAATATTGTTAATTGTCTATTAACCATTGGTAATTAATTAATTAATAAAATAATTTATTAATTCTTAGCTGACATTATGTTTTTGTTTATTTTTTTAATATAAATCATCATACATGCTTATTGTAAAATTTATTTATAGATTGTATGTTTTAAAAATAAAAGTTTAAAAAAAAATGTATTTAGTTATTTTATATCAACATCCTGACATCAGGGTAATTATTCCGAGTGTAATATAAATAATATGAGCCCTACAGAGTTATAAATAGTAAATAATTTAAGTTATAAACGTTACATTCGGATTCTAACTTAACCTAACCTTATACTTTTCTTTATACATTTTTTAGGCAAATGTATCATTTTTGAGGAATTGTGGTTAGGCAATTCTTTCGTTTCTTGCGATAGCTGCTCACACACCGTCAATGTAAATTATCATTAGTCACATTACCCAGTGTGTAACTTCCCACCAATCTCCCACATCGTAAATATTACGCACCTACATGGACAATATGCAATTTAAGTCATTATATTATCAGTATATTCAAAACCAATTTATGGACACGAAATAGCTTATATTAGGCCAGCTATTACAGGTACGCCTGACAAAAATTTTAGTACATTCAAAGATTAAATTTTAAAAAAATGTAAAGATTTTTAAATGCATTTACAAGATTACTTTGCATCGATCTTAAAACTTTCTCAATTGTAGCAAATTCTTGACGAGGATAAATATTTTAAATTAAATGTATTTTAAATACATTGAATATAATATGTTTGAACCGTAGAAGCAAAGTAAACTTCCTTACCAAATCAAAAATCTTTAATTTGGAAATCGAACCTCTAGAAGTACCTACCATCATTGTCGTCAGCCACTTAGGTCGTTTTGATGAAAAATGTATTGGGTTTGGCAAGGGCCTCAACTGTAATATACGATTTATACATTTTTTTCCTGCATAATAATTATAATTACATTTTAAACGACACAATAATAATCATTTTTGATTATGTTACAATAACTGACCAGGCCCTCACTTACTATATAAAATTAACATCGGGCCCAAAATGTGCCAAGAATAAACTGTCTTTTAATCGAAATATAAGAGTTATTAATTGTAATTAACATTTTTGATGTGCGAAAACATAATATACTAATTTAAGTTCATGATTATAATTGTTTCCTCTGTTCAAAAGTTCTAGGGGAAGATTTTAATTTGTTTTAAATCTAGAAGCCTCCTGCGTTATTTATCTAGACAAACTAAATCAAACATGATATTTAAGGATCGATTATCTAGTTCAGAGTTCAGAAACAAATTTTTCAAAAGCAATATATACATAATATAGATTTATTTTTATAGGCACTGACAATATTGATTATATTATCAATGTTAATTATCTAATAAAATAATAATAAAAATAATAATAGAAAAAAATTAACTGCGGTTCGCTTAACATTTTAACACTGATATCGTCAATTATAAAAAATAAAAATTGTAATTAACAAATTTCACGATTATCTATAAAATATTATGATGACTAAAACAAATCGCAATTAAATTTGTTTCAGTGTTTATATTATGCAAAAACACATAAATAATAATATTTATAATAAACATAAAAATATATATAAAAAAAAATAAAATAAAAATATCGGTCATGATGCCAACAAATGTACAAACAAATCTTTAACAAAAATCAACTAGGTTTGAAGAGTCGATTACAAAAAATATACCATCACGATGGCCGTTACATCGGACCGAAAATCTGATAGAAATCTTAATTCAATATGTATAAAAATAAGATTGAACTCGTTAAAAAATCACAATATATATTTTAATATCATAAATAAAGTCGTTATCATACGTATCTCCTATTATATAATAATGGAAAACGAGTTGACGATGATATATATATATATATATATATATACATATATATAATATAAATGTAGGTACCTATACAAGACGGGAATGTCCGGTAGTCGAAACGAACGCGTCGTATGAAAACTTAATATGCAATATTGAATAAAACAAAATATTATATTATAGCTTATACAAAATGAAAAAAAAAAATTATAAATTTAAAAAAAGTATATAAACTTAGATACGTAGGTATAAAAAAGAAAAAAAAACGTTTATTGGATAAAATACTGCAGCTGACTGGATCACGTCGTAACATAATAAATTAATCGATTATTTTGAACGTTAAAACACAACGTTTATGACTATTATTTTTTCTGTTGGAGTCACGCGAAGTACTCCGAAACCGAGGACGATCGTCTGGAATTGGGAGCCGACGACGACGTGGTCGCGGCTGCCTGCAGGGGAACAGTCGAATCCTGGTGTTGCCCGTGGGTGGGCAGGTCCAGCAGCGTGACGGGCGAAAACCGAACTCGAGCCGTGGACATAGACGCCGCTGAGCTGTCCCTGGCCGACATGTAGCTGCTGTCATCGCTGGTCAGGCTGTCTGGTGGCGTCGGATTGGTCGGCGACACTGCGGGCACATGCAAGCGAACCGTTATTTTTGGTAAAATATATATTTCATCGCACCCTTATCGGTGGTCAAGATCACCGGTAAGGAAGGAGAGGTAGTTTCGAGGTTCAAACCACCCCAACCAATACAATTTTTTATAAAATGTTAATATTAATGGAAAAAGATTTTACTGATGATTATGCGGAGTAATGAAGATGGTTCAAGTCAGTCCAAGAAAAAAATCGTTTTTAAACTATCCGCTATGACAAAATTGTGAGACTTTGGATTGTTCAATTTTAATGCTGTTAAAATAATAACATTTCTCATTATCTCCACTAAAGAACCGTTGCAGCACTTTTTTCAAAGTTTGAAATTTTTACAATATTATAATATAATAACATTTCAGTTTTTACAACATTTTTGTTCAATCATACGTGTTGAAGTTTCAAAAAAATCCTCTAAATAAATATTAGGATTTTTACAGAATTAAAATAGCACTAGCCTAACAATTTTGTCACAGGCGAGGGATATTTCTACTCAAAAAGTAACCGTGTACTTTTTCCTAATTTTATATACTGACATGTGAAACATTCACTTAAACAAGTATAGGGTATTTTAGAAAGTATTTTAAACACTATATAGTCAATCCAACGAGAGAACCATAGTGGAACCAGTCTCGGTGGTAACGCTAAGGTTGGGTATCAAGCAGAACAGCCGATTTTCGTCATGCTACGAAGCGTTCTTTCGCTGGACGGGGTATAGTGTACACTAGATAAAATAATTTTTAGATATCCGAAATTCTAAAAATATGTGCCATTTGATATTTAATATTATCTTATCAATTAATATTTAATATTTTATTAAAGTTAATCATAAAAATGGAGATTATAACTTCAAATAAATGTGGTGACAAATAATTATGGTATAATTTGTGATTTGGTAAAGCATACTTAAATATTGTACTCATAAAATATTATGTCATAACACAATTGTATGACACTCACAAGGACTTTTACTTCTAGGGTGAATCTATTTTTTTTGGTTTGTTTTCTATTATATTTTTGTTTGTACTTTTAATTTCTTGATCTATTTTACTGACTATGACATATTATCACGACGACAGTAAGTAGTGCGAAAACTCCAAGCCAACAGATTCTGTCTATCGACTTCCAACTGGGACCCAAGTATGGGAGGCGCAACCGAATCGGAATCTAACGGCGAAAAAAATAGGACACCCCTTTATGACAATGGTATATTATGTAATAAACTAATTATACCACGATGATCGTGATTCTGGCACTAGTGTGTTGTTACAACAGACCGTGAAAAATAGCAGAGCTAGGATGATAGGGAAAAGTTAACTTTGTTTTTTAATACGCAAATATGTACAATTTTAAATTTGTTGTTAATACACTTACCTCCCGGACTTGACGAACTAACGGCCGTTTGCCGACTGCCATACACAGATTTCTTTAGGCTGGACCGCAGTCTCGACGGCGTGCCAGGCTGTAAAAAAAATTACCAAACATATGATTATGCACGGATAATACTATATTTATGTACATTGTACCTATACTGCTCCGACTCATAATATAAGAGTAACCTCAGGCGAAAGCAAGGGCGAGACTTTGGAGCGCCAAATTTGGAGCCATCTACGGGAAAGTTACTTATTTATCGTTCCAACAACCACCTATCATTTGCCAAGATTAACAATATCAAACAATTTTTTGCCTGAGGTCGATCGTTGAAAACAATAACTGACGAAAACCAACTTAATCGTGGGATGTTATCTGACCAAATCGGTTTCCACCTGAGGTTACCCTTATATAATATGTCATGTGGTGGCTATATCAAAACACATCATCTACAATAAACAACGCAAAACGTAATAACTTATAACAGAATAGTGGACAGCGCCGCAACTACTCATTACAGGACCGGTTGGCAAATCTTAATTTAGGGACTAAATATATTTTGTTTAAGTATTCACTTAGATACTATAAATAAGTAACGATAGTCGGCGTTTATATTATGAAAGGTAGCAGGTCTTCGTTTTGAAGCGACCCCAGCATATCATGTTTTAAGGAGTAATATTTAGGCAATTTATATGGCATGAACAATTGGGCTATGTCTATGTGTAAGGCATAATTATAAGAACGGTAGTATATTAAACATTCTTCCTGAAATCCAATTGTAATTTCAGAAAAAAAGGAATTTATAAGCGTCTAGACTATGCTCTTTAGGAATCCTTTTTTAAATTTAAAATCAGATGTGCTCAAAATAAATAGAAATGCAATTTAATTATTTCATAGGATTTTTCAAAAAAATGTATTAATTTTAAGGATCTCTTAAATTGAAAATCGTCTTCCTAAAAAGCATAGCAACTCTGTCAAAGAAATGTATAGGTATGTGATATATTAAAAATTAAAATCGGACATTTCGAAGTATGTGTAATTTACCACCGTTCATTGGTCAAAAACTTATGAAAAATATAAGTGTGCTTCAATCCTCTCAAGTAATTTCCTAGTTTCAACTGTCTTACATTGTCTTATAGAAGTAATTTTAATATTTTTTCACATTATTATAAATAACGTGAAGTGTGATGCAAAACTATATGGCACTATATGAAGTATGGATGTATATTTTTTATCACCCTCCCCTCCCCCAACCTGAAAATAGTTCCTGCGGCACTGCGAATGTAGGTAGAATTACACGAAATGTTAGATGGCCAGTATGACGGTATAAATCGTAAGATACTGGTATTTAGGTATAGGTACGCACCTCCAACGTGGTAGGTCGGTTTAGGGTCTCGGGCGAGTGCGGTTGCGGTAGTCGTTCGTCGCTCGTGAAATAATTGGAATAGTCGCCGGCCCGCCTTTGGTGTAGGTACGGGAGCGATGGTGAAGTCGACGGCGCCCGCTGCGTGTGATGTAAAACCACCGAGCAAGTTTCGGCGGGCTCCATGATGAACGTCGGATTTCCGCCCCCACACCGATATCGACTTCGACTAAATGACGGCGGATCGTCGACGCCACCGACCGAGTCGTTGTGGTTGGCAGTCGGATTGTCGTACGCGTACAAACCACCGTTTTCATACTCGTACTCCGCACTGGTAACTCCGCACCGGTCATTGGACAGCTGACGGTATCCACCACGGTCGCTGGACAACTGACGGTATCCTGTACAATACATTATAATATACAATAATAAAATTGAATATTATAAATATTATATTAAATAATATTATATACACATAATATGGTATAATAATAAATATAATATATTATATTATGGTGTTTAATAAATAAATAAAACATATTATATTATAATCGTAGATGAAAACAGTCCGTCGTCGAGGAGGACGCTCGAACGGAGTATTAACGCTCAAGTAGGTTAGATAGATAACTAGATGGATAGGTAACTAAATAGGTACAAGAGGTACCCTTAAAAATCTAACTTAACATTTTAGGTTACCTATCAAACAAACACAATAATACATACATTATTAATATAAGTGTTATATCACTATTTTTGGTCTATTTTTCACACATATAAAAATGTTATAATATTTTAAATAGACAAGAAAATATCTCAGGCAAATAACCTAAGTTGATGAAGCCTTTTCTCTTAAATAAAAAAAAATTGTTGTTGTTGAAATGTTATGATTTGTATAAATTTGATGTTAGTATTAATATGTAATATGCAAATGTTCGAAAACCAAAGAAAAACGCTTTTAGAATAGTTGAGCTTATAATAAAATGTATATTGTTAAAGTACTTACCGGTATGAGACGCGAAGTCTGTTTGCTGGTAATAATCGCTAGAAGTCGTGCCATAAAATGAATGCTAAGGAAAATACAAAAATCAGGTTAGATATAATTACGAAAACAAAAAACAATTTAACCCTGCAGCGATAGAAAAATTTTTCAGTCTTATATCGGTTTACATAAAATTAACAAACAGAATACGACACAAATAATCTAAAAATCCACTTGTTGCTCCCTCTTCATCTTCTCGGAGACTTTAACGCCCCGATGAAAATCAAAAACGTCTATGCTGCTATATAGTCAACCCCGGATCGAGGGACATATAAAGTATACACTCACGTGGCTTTTCTCATCGGCGCACCCAGCTACGCTACTCGACTTCCTCCGAGGTGGTGGTCTAGATTTCCGCCGGGAACGGCTCAGCCGGTGTTGCGGGCTGTCGGTGAACCGCAAAGGTTTGGCGTCTGAACTCAGCGGCAACGGCATGCGAAAGTGCTTCGACGACTGGCCGTGGTACGTATTGTGTTTGTGCGCTGGAAACAAGATGTCAGAGCCATGAATCGAGATTCATTTCAACCGACCACTGTTGTGAACCTAATGCAGTAATGCCCTAATCATTTAACAACAACTCAAAGAAAAAACTGTACATAAAGAGCAAAGCCGCAAACCACTATACAGCTGCAGACTATCAGTGTAGAACGACGATATTGAATCAATAAAGAGAACTCAAGCCGTCGTTTTGTAACCTGTAAGTTTTTTTGTGTATAATATTTTGTAAGTTCTGATCCGTCATCTCCTTCGGGAATTGTATGTATACCGTAAACATTTTCGTGAAGCACTATACATATATTGTCCCCGTAAATAATAATATAATAGGATAATATGTACATTTGTTTTTTGTTTGAGTAAAAAAATGTAGAAGTAATAATTATTGATGATATAAAGGTGAAATAATACATTTTATAGGCATAAATAAGACCTTAATGCCTGTGTTAATATAAAAAAAAATATTGAGAAAGTAAGAGTTTGAATAATTAAGGCAGAAATAAGATATAAATATGTGTTGATAGTGTTGAAAAAAAACAATAAATTAAATAATTGAGAATTAAAAGCCAACTAGTAAGTTATTACATTTTTTAAATTGTATTGAAAGACAGAGAATTATATGTAATAAATTGAAAATTTTTTTAGCCAGAAAATAATAGGCAAACATTTTACCGGTTGAATTAAAATAGTTAAGACATCGTTTAAGCCCGGAATAAATAATAGTATATTTTAAAAAAATAATAAATAATTTTAAGAGTTAACTAAATTATATTTAAGCGTGTTATAAAAAATAAATTAAATTAACTGAGTGAAAAATAAATAATCACACTGCAGTTTTTTAAATATTATCGTATCATATATTCATAATATTCATATACGTATGAATTATTCTCTATAAGTAAAATAAAAGTGTTGATTTGATTTATATAAGGTTTTTTCATTCACTAACTTGACATTAGGTATATAGGCATTAACCAACCGATTGTCATTATTGCCACGCGACAAGACACCGATGGCGTAACCTAACAGTGGATACAGCGAAAGCTTGAACTTTGAGAAAAACGCTGCAATCGAGTTTACATCGTATTTATCATAAATCATACTCACGGCGGCTGGGAGAATTGTGTAGGCAGAATTTTAAATCTGATGTGGAGGTTGTGGTGTTGGAGGTGTCGGTGGAAGTGTGCTGCATACCGGGCGTAAGCGTTGCATTACGACTGGAATGTAAAACAAATTTACAATTTATAGGTGTCAATCAATCATCAACACCTCTTTTATAGATCCGTAAACGGTTAATAGCTGATCGTGACCTCAAGTAACCAAATACTAATCTGGTGAAACATTTTCAAAGTCCTCCCAAGCCGAGATGACATTTTTCCTCGGCAGATTTGCACCCCTAGCAAAAGCTTGAGCGGCTGCAACGAAGGTTCCAACTTTTATGGTAATTCGGTGGTTTTACTCACTGCGCCCGAAGAGGGATCGCAGCGAATCGATTTTCACTTGCAATTTCGGAAGACGATTTCCGGACCCAAGTGCCACATTCACACATTCTGAGATCGGAAATTCGATACAACCACAAAAGTAGAAGTGCAACTGCAAGTGCTCAAAACCGTAAAAACCAGCGAGTAAACGAACCAGATTTTATATTTTTTTTATTTACTGGTTGATAAGCGATTTGAAAGAAAAACCATACACGACGATTCCATATAGTGGAACGTAAACGATTTAAAAAACTTGAAATCATCAGGACCATATTTATAGATTTTTGCCGCTCCTGCAAAGCAACACGATTTTCCCACCCCATGCCCGGCTTCAAAAACTAACACACATGTTATCGCTAATCTGTCGTTTGAAGATCTTCCTTATTATAAGTAGCTACACAAGACCACCAATTCGATTACGTTTCATTTTAATTGTTTTTAAGACACAGAAAATATTTATGTATTAAATATATTTTTTTAATATTATAATATCCCGAATTGATGTACCTATCTGCTCTGCACGTATCCGTTCGGTGTTATCGTCGACGCGAAATTTTACCACCAATAAATAATAATGATATGTTTATTGTAAAAAATTCGTTCGTCATCTTACCCGGAAGAGATGCACGTCCTGACGTCCGCGCCGCCCAACCCAAAACCTGCCAACATGGACGCTGCCGCACGCAGGACACTCTCCAACAGCGGCGTTGTCTTGTGATTGGTCGATGAAGCAGCAGCCGTCGAAGACGACGATGACGAAGGTTTCGATGCCGTCGCCGCCGATCCACCTCCGTCGCCCGAGGTGCTCGTACGGAGACGATCCGATGACAGCGTTCTCTGAGTCTGTGGCCGATCGTCGACGTCGTCCTCGTCGTCCGGCCAGTAGTAAGCCGCAGACATTGGTGGGCCACCGTAGTCTACAAGAGGAAAACGACAAAAAGAAAAATTTATAATTTGACAATAAAATAATTAAGTATAAAAACAATAATAATATCGTTATGACTAAGTCTTATGGTTTGTGGAGATCATCGGGTGTCGTACGATGCGTCACCGATAGTTAAATAGTATTTTCGTTAGTAGCATTGTTCGTTGTGTTTGTTATTGTTATTACTTTTGTTGGGGTATTAGTGATATTGGTTACAGAAATTAGTACACAAAGCCGTTAGTCAAGGTCACCGCACGCGGAATAATTTTTATTTTAATTATATCCTATCTGAACTATACAATAGTTTTTTTTTTTTTGTAAATTTGCAAAAGTGTCATTTCGTAAAATAATATTTTGTTGATCACCTGTGACTTCTTAGAAATTAGAGATACGATTAATAGGATCTAGATTATTCAATGATATCATAATATCTCGTGGTTAATGATAGTGAATGGGTACATAGGTAAGAACGGTAAGTCTAACAATCGAAAGTAAAATTTGAAATCAAAGATACGTAGATCAGAACTATATGCTAAGGTTCGAATTTTTTTAAGAACACAATTTTATCATAGAGTAACAGGTAGTAAGTATTCTAGTTCTACAAAAACTAGAAAAAAATTGAGTGAATCCTCCAAAATTTTCTGGGAAAAGCACTGAGTAAAAAATATAAGTATAAGATACATGAGATTTGTACATAATATTTTCAACAAAACGGGGAATCTAAAATTGTATGCTATCCTTATAATACTATTTGATGTTCGGCATGCTCAGGGAGAAACAATTGTATAAATATTTGTATTATGTTAGACATTTGTTAAAATAAATTAAGATTATTGAATATTAAGTAGGTATTCTGTTCACACATGCTTACCAAATAAACTGTAGCAACTAATTATCAACAAAATGAAACATGCACAATCTAAAAACAATGCTCTAAACTATTGCGCATATCAATCTAATTAGAATACATTAATTATATAATAATATTATACTAGTCCGTACGAAAGAACAAGACTAAACAATAGTTTAAGTTGATAACTATAACAGTGTTGTTTATACTTACCCTGTATTATAATAGGTGTATAAACATAACAATATTATCATAATAACCTAATTCATTTTGACAAAAGTTTGAAATAATTACTTGCTAAGACTTGTTTCACTGAACATTTTTTTATTAATTAATTTTGCATATTCCCAGTATAAATATTATACACAAATAGTAATCTAAATAATTATTTATAAAAATATTAATGATAAATTTTGAAAATTTGTCAAAAAATAAACTTCTTAAAACTAATTAAAAAAAAATCACTACGATAAAGGTTAAAAATAAACAGCTCTAAGTAAATCGGAGAAAAATTTTTTTGGTGGGGTAAGGTGTGTATGTGTGTATGTGCCTAATATCTCGGGCAATAGGTACAAATTAAAATAATAATAATAATAAAAATAATTATAATAATAATAAATAATAATAATAATAACAGCCATTGGCTTAAGTCTAAAAATATACAGAATACATTTTTGTGATGTGCAAACTGGAATGTGTGCTCTTTATATCTTCAAGAGATATGAAGTTAAAATAATAAAAATAAACAATTCAACAGTCAAGCAGTGCTTAAAGCACAATAATATTATAAGCTTCATTTTTAAATAAAATTAATAATAATAATAAATTTGTAACAAATTAATAACAATTTTTATATAAAAAAAAGACCTTAGAACCAGAACCGTTGAGTTTTTGATCGTTTATAAATATATATATATATATATTATATAATATGTGAATATAATATATATCATATTATTTTGTTTTTACTGTATTCCACCACCGAGAAATGATTTGTGTAAAGGGGTTAAAGGGTTATTATAGTATGTAGGGGATGCAAAAATGAAAATTATAGACTTATGGTCTCGGCATCATCATCATCATCATCCTTGTCACGGGTACCTATTTCTTGCAAAGCCGCGAAGTTTGAGCGAACCGACAACTGATGTTTCTCTAGGTTGGGCGCTGATCGTGACCATCCTTTGAACGATGTTGTGGCTGGTGATGATGGATATGATGGACTCCCACAGATTATCTGTACTCGCTCGCGTTGATGAAATGTGCTTGGACCCCACGTTTTGCCCTTGACTCCGTCTGCTGGCACTGAAATCATGTATATAGAGGAATACGAGCATGGTGGACCGGCCATTGACATAAATCAAAGTAGACAGATTTTAATTATTTTTAAACTTATAATACCACAAAATAACTCAAAATATAACATTTTTCACCATACACACAAATATTTTCAGAGAAAATGTAATAAATCTTTCTAACTTTTTAAAACGAAAAAATAAAATTGGAATTAATTTTTCAATTATGAAATTAGCATGTATAATTTTATAATTTGTTGCTTAAGTATGTAAAACATATAGCATCTAACAAAATTCCTCTATATTGGAAAATGTTTTCAAGGAAACACAGACATAAAAAGCAAATCCTTAAAATGTTTAGAACAAAATAGCAAACACAAATTTGTACGCAGAACATAATAAATTTGTGACTTCTTCCACAATCAAATATAAAATAAATTATATTACCATTCAAAACAAATTTTAATCCAATTCTACTTTAGATTCTAGAAAATTGTGTACAACAAAAAAAAAAAAAAACTAAGAAAATTTGTCCTAATACTACAAAAAAATACAAAATACATTTAAATTAAATTTCACCACATAAAATCAATTCAAATTTAATGACCAACACTGGGTACTCACAAAACAACCAAAAACATTGATGAACATCCATAAGTAGTCATGAACATACCTCGTTAAAGAATTGAGAAAAATGTCTTTTTGGTAATTTACTACACGTATATTTGTCTTCAAAATCAAAGAATCTATTCAGAGTAATCATCAGTAGTTAGACATGCACAAATTGATCTCATAATATCTGTGATAAAACCGAGTTTTGAACATTTATAATAAATGCGAATAATCGCGTGACACCTTCATTTGCACAATTTCAGCTTCCCTGCAATAGCGTAATATTTAAACACAAGTATTCTGATATATTATACAATTTGTTACATTAAACACATATAATGCATCGGTTATTGTATCACAATAATACAAAAATACATTTTTTTTTAATTTAACTTTTTATTTCCTTCGTTGCTTAAAAACAAAACCTCTCAGACTTTCCTCAAAAGCTCAAAATCAACTCAGCTCAATATTTGTAAGCTTACAGTAACTATACAAACAATAAAAAGTATAGTAAAAGCATTAAAAAACAACTCATTTTGTAAGTAAACTATGTTTAAAATAGTCTACATTAAATATTTTAACAGTGTTTTTCTATTTTAATACTTAATACCAAACTAGTACCTTGTACCTATAAGAGGAAATGTATAAACAATTTACAAAAGTTATTTATTATTTTTAAAATTATCAGTTTGTAATATTTTATTGATGAAACAACATCTAATAGCTAAAAATAAAGAATAATAGGCCCATAAAAATATTTTATGTTGATTTGCTTTTAGAAAAATCTATACAAATTTTAAAAAAATCAACAATATATTAATATAGTCAAAGAAAATATTTTACCTACTACGTACCAAGTTAGGCAACTATAAATACATAGTAAATCTTCTGAGATATATTTAAAATCTATCAGGTACTTAAAAAATGTACTAGAATAAATATCAAAACAAACTTTATATACATATAGGCACATAAGTCTAACATCTTGATATACAAGCAATACTCCTACTACTACTTAATCATAGAAACACGAACAGACTTTTTTATACTCACGTGCAATAGCTCTCAGTCTAGGAATATTTGGGGAACCAGGTGGGCTGTTTGGACCAGATGCGTCACGATTTTTCCTGTCGCTGGTGTGCTGTACAGTTATTGTGTGTCGAAAATCTTAAAGAAATAAACAAATTTGATTTAACATCAACATTTTTAATGTTCAATGCAATAAAATATATTACCAGATGGAGAACTAATAGGCAACTGGTTTGGTTCTTTTTTTAACATTTTCAAAATGTTGGATTTTTTGAAATGTCCACGACGTTTGTTGGGAGTTGGTATTGCTGGCGATGCTTGTTGCTGTTGCATTATAATATTTAGTTCCCATTTGAGCAATTCCATTTCACGTGCTTCTAAGTCACGTTCTCTCTGTTTTAAGTGTTTTTCAGCAATCTGTTGTTGTACCTGAGCTCGGCTTAATTCTTCTTCACGACACCTTAATTCCTAAGCACAAAATAATATAATGTTAAATAAATTAAATTAACATTCAACCTACATCAACTTACTTCTTCTTTAGATTTAAAAGCCTTGAGTAAGCATTGAAAAGAAATTATAATATATCATATTTTATAAAATACAATTGTTTTATCTAGTTATTATCTTACTTTTTCTTTCATTCGTAGTCCGTCAAGTACTTGTTCAATTTCTACTTTCCAAACATCTTGCAAAGTATGAAAAGATTCGTGTGGTGTTTGAGTGAAAGCAGAGTGTACAATATCATCCAATGATGTTAGTATATCTTCAAAACTAGGCCTCATGTGAGAATCAGAATGCCAACAAGCTAATGGTAAAATTAATTAAAAATTATGGTACACCAAATTAATAGTTAATATTAATAAATCTTTGTGAATACCCTCCATAAGTTCTCTGAATGGTTGAGGACAAGTTGAAGGAATTGGTAAAGTAAGTTTGTTCACTGCCACTCCGTAAGCAACAGCAAGTACATCAATACCTTTGTATGGCATTTCTCCAGTAAGTAGCTCCCAAAGCAAAACACCATAGCTATAATAAAAAAAATAAATCATAAGTTAAATTTCAACTTTTTATAATAATAAAAATGTATTCAAAAATGGAGATACAGATACCAAATTCAAGAAATATGGATTCTATGTATTTAAAATATTTAATACATTTTTGTTTATTAACCGTTTAACTTTACAGATAAATATAAGTTATAATAAAATTATCAATTAAAAATAAAGAAAAATGTCTTTTTACTTTTTAAATTCCTTTATCAATAAAAAAATGTGTACAATGACATAATATACATACTATAAAAAAGTATACATGTTAATTAAATTCTGATGATTATTCTTATGTCATTAATATATATATATATTTAAATATTAATTTCTCCAAACCTCCAAACGTCGCTAGCTTTTGAAAATATTGATTTTTTTATAACCTCTGGTGCCATCCAAGCATAGGTTCCAGCAGCGGACATTCTAGTTGTCTTGTAAACTTCCCTGGCAAGACCAAAGTCTGTGATTTTTAATGTCTTGAATTGTAGATCGTTGTTTTCAATTGTTTCATTCAAAAGCACTGAAAATGTAAATTGTAAAATTTCATGAAAAGTAAAAGCATTTTACACAATATTAGTTAGAATACTTTTATAAATTGAATGATCATTTAAAAACATTGCTATATTATATTATTTTTTACATCTAATTTTTAGTAAAAATGGGGGGATGTAGGAGAATCGAGTACCTAGTTTAGTAACTATTCAAACTCATGTTTTAGCTAGTTTAGTCCCCTTCTTAGATCTTAAAACAATTTCAAAACTATGTTTTGTGTTTTTCTTGCTAAAAAAACCAACTGAATGAAGAAATATTAAAGCTTAATATGGAAAAACAAAAAAATAGTTAAAATGCAACAATATTTTTTATAGTGAGCTAGAAATACCCATTTGATTATTTTTGTTGAAGAATTAACTATTTTATACTCAAGGAAATGTTAATTTTGGTAAATAGGACTTGGTGCTTTATTAATTTGTTCATACAATTTTGAGCCCTGGTGACAATTGTGTAATTTATGTGGTGTGGTACCCTCACTGGGACCTTGGAAATCTAACCTGAGCATAGATTATATTTTACCAAAGTATATTTATCATATTACTATTACTAGTTAATTTTAATAGGTAGGTTTTAATAATATGGTAGAAATGTTGAACTAATTTTTACCAAAAACAAATCACATATATGAAAAAAGTCAATGATGTTCCAAAATACGATGTAGTAGATTTGTGGTACAACTGTGTAAGCAGCTTAAAATTAATCTAAATACTTTTTTAGTGCCATTGAGCATACTTAATAGTAAAGGTGAATTGTTAGGCACCAACAAATAATATTTATTAAATTACAAAATACTAAAATATTTATTTTTTATTTAAACACCTATACAATTTCCTCTAAAATTGAAATTGGGATATCTGTTTAAAAAAAATGTTGAATAATTTAATTTACAAACTGTTAGGTTTCTATATAAATATTACTAGTGAGGTATCTTCTAATAAATGTTTATGCCTAAACTTTAAAAACTGAAAATTGTATAAAATGTTACCAACAAAATATTTTTTTAAACGCCATGATTTTGGACGATTTTAACTTCAATAGAAAATTGCTTGTCTAAATTTCAAAATTGTTTAATCTTTGGACGATTCGGGTAGGTTTTGAATCCACGTTGAATCGCAGCAGTAAACGTTTCCCTGCCTCGGGTAAACAAACGAAGAACCACCACAAATTAGTGCTCAGACTCGTTTTTAAGTTTATCGAGGGTTGACTTTCAAAGATCACCGGTGAACAAAATACTACCTGATCGAGTATCGACATGTATTCATGTCTATAATTCTATATTGTCAATGCCACAAATGATCTAGAAGTAATTATCATCAATCATGGTAACTTTTTTTTTATGATATTATGCAACATGATTGGCGTCAGTGACGGATATACGCATAGATATTAAGGATATCTTTAATATCTATGGGCATGCCATCGAGATTCGAGATAAAGAATACACTGGAGCGCGCACCATATTAGGGTAAAACTCTAGAGCCGCCGTAATAATCATCCCCACCACCGTACGGCAAAAAACTAATATTTGTTCATTTGTAGTCTCGGTTTATTGACTTTTCTGTGGTTTAAATTAGTGCTTTTTAAAGTATTGAAATATATATTTATTCTTATTTCTAACGGGCTTTTTTTGTTGAAGATAATATTCTTTATCTCGATGTTGCATGCGAGCTTTATGGCCATTGTTTATTGGCTAACTTTTGTGTTTTGGTAGCACTGTCTCCTCTACGATTGGTCATAGATAGTAGTGCCTTAGACAACTTTACTGTACACGTCGTCCAGAATCTAGCATCAGCATGTCAATTGTCAATGTTGTCAAACACGTTTTTAAATGGCCCACAGGCTACCAATATTAATGGACAATTGTCAATTAATTATAAAAATAAACTATGCAATATAATTTCGTGTCAAAAGTCACAACTATGGTAGGGAGAGAGGTATACATTATGTTACTTTTCTGTCATAACTTATGATAAACTGTAATCGAATAAATATTAAATAGTATTGTTAGTTATACATAAACATTTATAAATATTTTGGAGTACTTTTTATTATTAAAAATGTTGCTCAGAGAATTTTAGTTTTCATTTTTGTTAAGTGCAAATTTGTAGTCCACACGAAAACAAAAATGTTGGTACCAAAATTAGTGCGATACGACCATTTATCCCAGAGTTAAGTTAAAATGTGTAACCCTTCAATGATATTTGTATGGAAACTCAATTTCTTGCCATATAGTGGTGGGGGTAACCGCAGTTGAGACTGCCTGTTATTCGTAACATACGAAAGTGAGTGGTGTACAACAACTATTGAGGATGATCTTTTTTTTTGCTTATCGGCCTGTCTCCGGGGCTGCTTTCTTTCAAAGGTGGCAACCCTAGGTGTACACAATGATAATAATATAATATGACCATAGACAATTTATATATATAACAACTTGTCTATAGATAAGACAATATTCTTTGTTTGGTCATGATAACTGATAAGGAAACAACTCTGGAATTCTCAATTTCTGATTATATACATTTTAATAATATTATGACAACGGTCAACGGCGATTAACAGTGTCCATACTAATTCTTTAGAATTTTTTTTAAATGATTGCAAGTCAAATCCGACGAACACCGTTCGAATATTTAGTGATTTTTTGTTATTAGACAACGGTCAACGACCACATACATTGTGCAGAGTGCCGACGTAATATTTTGATTTTTTTTAAATAGTTCTTTGACAAAAGTGGTTTAGACATTTAGTTATCACTATAATAGAGAAATGACCAATGAGTGCATCAATAATAATTGCAAATCAAAACCGAAAAGGAAGCTGTACGCTGCCCAACGATCCGTGTGCAATTACTATAAGGTTCAGTACAAGCCAAATCGCCAGGTGTGTGGGCCCTGTATACGGAACTGTATGGTTGACATTGACAGCTTCATTCGGCAGTTTAAAAACCAAGAATGTGTATTAAATGAAAAACATCCAAAAAGACATATCTCAATTATTGAGTTATCAGACTCTGACGATGATAATGCCGTCAACAATGCTACCATGCCATCAACAGAAAACACAAACCTGCAAATAGTTACATCAATAAACACAATCTTGAATGATACTGTTAAACCATTAATCACTAAACAAAAAGAATTATGCGAAAGCTATTTGCTTTCTAAAAAAGCCAAACTGGTTACTGAAAATGAAAAATTAAACAATTTAATGCAGCAGGTAGATGAGAGTCTCTTTCATTTGTACAGAAACTTATACAAGTTTGATAATCAACAGGAATTGAAGTTTGACGAAGAGATAAGTATTGTAGAAAATAATGAACTCGTGGATAATGATGTAGCCTTTGTATCAACTGTACGGTTACCTAAATTGCCAGATGATTTACCCTTAAAAGAAAATAAACTATTTAGACACTTATTACAACTGGGTGACAGAGTGTATGGGATGAAACATTCACAACTGCAGCCATGGGTTGAGGCAACTATTAAATCGGCACTTAGTAATACATATTTTAATATTGTATTTGACGATGGAGAAGAAAGAGTTTTGAATTACAAAAGTTTAGCATACAGTAGTGCAAGCAACGCACAGTATCCGGTAGGGAGTAGAGTGATCGCCAAATTCCAAGATATGAACATTCAATTGACAGATAAATTCTACGTAGGAGTAATAGCAGAACCACCAAAATACCTCAACAATTTCAGGTATCTTTAATACATTTTAATAAATAATTTAGGTAATCATTATGTCAACAGAACATTCTTAACCCGTCATTTTCTCATTCAATTTTTGTTTTTGGAACAAAAAAGTAATTAGGTAACTACTTATAAAAATAAAATTATTTTTTCTATAGGTAACTTCAAAATGTGAAATACACCGTGCTTTGTATTTTCTTGATATTGATTTATTTGAACCTATTTATGGGAACATTTAGAAAAACAACGGTTTTGATCATATTGGTCTACGTGACAATAAGCTTCTTCTTTTAAAAAAAAAAATGTATAGGTACACAATATTACCTATATGAAAACATTTATTAAACAAATCACCAACGGTTTTAAAAGAAACTTATGATATTCGGTATTAGTATATTTTTATTTTTATTTAGTTAATTATATTGTCAAAGCAAATTATTTTTATTATCATGGGGATATGGGTGATCCTATTATTTAAATAAAATAATATAGTAACAGCAATCTTATATTTCAGCGTTTCCCAAACAGTGGGTCGCGACCCACTACCGGGCCATCAAAATTTAATACCGGGTCGCAGAATTTAATGAAATTCTCATATTAAATTTGTTATTCATCATTTTCGTTTGATAATTTAAACTGTTAAGTTAATAGAAGAAGAAGTCAAATAGACAATAGAGATGATTCAAATGTGTTTTATTTTGGGTTTTATTACATAATGATAAATGTAAAATATTTTGGTGAGTCACGAAGGTGAAAAATATAAATTACCGGGCCAGCCCAAACAAGAGTTTGGGGAACGCTGTTATATTTGATATCAAATAACAACAAATTACCTTATACATTAAGAAAATGGAAGATATTTTGAAAAATACTTGTGTCAATTTAAAGAAAAAATATTACTCTGCTCACATTTTTAAAAAACAATTGTCATACTGTTTAATAGAAGACAAAGAGCAGCTTAAAAATGTTTTCAAATAATTAACCTATATAGATATTTATCACATTGTCTATAACAAAACACTTTTTTGATCTGCCTTAGGTACATGGTATTCTTTGATGATGGATATACACAGTATGTATACCATAAGAATATTCGCCTTGTGTGTGGTCAGTCACCAGATGTGAGTAACGATGTGCATGAAAATATACAAGAATTTATCAAGGAGTATTTAAAAAATTATCCAGAACGGTCTATGGTAAAATTAAATAAAAAACAAGTAATACGCACAGAACTAAACAACATATGGTGTTCAGCCAAAGTGAAGAATGTAGATGCTTCGTTAGTCCAGTTAAAATTCCTTGAACTCAAGTACGAACACACAGAGTGGATATATCGTGGCTCGAATAGGTTAGGCCCGATATACGATCAATTAAGTAGTAGCAATGAAGAAAAACGTGTACGTAGTACAGTATTGACTGATGTTAATAAGTTATTAAACCGGCCGTATATTGAACTAGAAAACGAAAAGACTGATGATGAAAAAAGTATTAATATTGTTAACAGCAATAACACTCAAAAAATACAGAAACCTCAAGAAAATAATGGTGTTGTTAAATTAATTGAGATACCAGCAAACTGTCCAAAACCACTTCCTTACAAGCACCATCAGTGTTCTCATTTGTGTATGTTATGGGTTCACTACGACTACAGTCAAACAAAACATATGAATGTTTTAAGCATTCCATTACATTATGGATTTAAGAGGTCTATAAAAACAGACGAAAAATCCAAATTAAAAAAAGTAATATATACCACTCCTTGCGGGTGTAATATAGTTAATGAAGAAAGAATGTATAATTACTTGAAAGTGACAGGGTATGGTAATAGTCCAATGACTATAGATTTATTTAATTTTGATTGTGAGGTGAACCCACTGTCTTTGTTTAGCGTGCCAAATGAGTTTATTCGCATACACGACATATCTTACGAGATGGAGTTTAAATCAATAAGCGTTGTCAACAGTTTGAATAATTTATTACCAAAAAACATAAAGTATATAATGGAACGCAAAACTACCACCGGCATTAATTTGAATACAGACTCAAAATTTTTAAGTGGATGTGATTGTACTGATAATTGTGAAGACAAACAAAAATGTTCCTGTTGGCAACTTACCTACGAAGCTCCAAAAAATTATCCCAATAGTTTCAAAGACCCTAACATTGGCTACATTTCCAAACGGTTACACAACCGTGTACTCACGGGTATTTTTGAATGCAATGCCAATTGTAAATGTGGGAAAACTTGTTTAAATCGTGTTGTTCAAGAACCACTGAAGACTTCACTGCAATTGTTTCTAACTGAAAAAAAAGGCTGGGGTGTGAGAACGCTTGCTGATATCCCCAAAGGCAGTTTTGTTTGTACATATCTTGGGGAGGTACGCACAGAGAAAGATACTGAAAATGATTATGCAATAAATTGGGGCGAATATCTAGCAGATTTGGATTTTCTCGGGACAGCTGAAAAGTTCAAAGATGGATATGAAAGTGATGTGGTCCAGTCTGAAAACGAAAGTGACGATTATAATAATTCATCTGACGATGAAGAGTTTTATCCTGATTGGAAAACCAAACGTAAAATGAGTATGTTTGAATCTAGAATGTCGTTAAGGAAGAATTTACAAGACACAAATACAAAAATTGATGGCAAACATGACCTGTCTAAGTTAAATACCCAACAAAGAGTTGTAAATAAACACAAATCTTTGCTAAGGTACCTATATGAAGACTGTGGCTTCTACACATTGGATTCTAATGTCAGTGGGAACATAGGTCGCTATTTTAATCATTCCTGTGACCCAAACATATTTATACAAAATGTTTTCATCGATACACATGATCTTAGATTTCCATGGGTGGCATACTTTGCATTATCAAATATTCCAGCAGGAACCGAACTAGTATGGGATTATAATTATGTTGTAGGAAGCGTGGAACACAAAAGACTTCAGTGCTACTGTGGGTCAAAAAATTGTAGGGGCAGACTATTATGATTTTTTTTTTTTGTTATTAATATTTCTTTATATTTATAATCAATGTTTTTGTAATTATTAATTTTTTTTTTTTAAATATACGAGTAGAGAGAACAAAATAATATGTTATGCTTCAATGATGTAGGTATGGACATGAATATTAATTATATAAAAGTATGAAATATTTCTGTCTTTTGAAATTTTTGTTAGTACAACAGATCACTATAGTCGCATCTTGCATACTATCATTTTTACATGTTATTCCAAGACTTATGAAAATGCTTTTAAGTTTTAAGTTAGGTGAGCCAGATATTCTATATTTTGAACAGGGAATGTCCAAACCTAAACTAATTTTCCTATGTCCTAAAAACTCTCTTTGGGATAACAAAATGCAGTTTTTAAAAAATTTCCCATTTATATCGGGTTTTTTGATTTGAGAAAATAACACTTGATTTCATTAGTAAAAAGCGGGCAAGTGTATAACACTCTGCTGTACATTATATGTCTAGATAAGTCACTGTAATTTATGTGTTATAATTGAATTCAAAGATATACAATATATATATATAATAATTGTAGGTAAACAAAAAATGATTCTGAGTCAAGACGGTTTGTCAGTCTATAATACTACTAAGTATATTTTATGACATTGTGATTAAAGTAATTTATTTTACTATTAGTACTACAGTACTTAGGTTAAATTTATTTGATACATTTTAAAATTTTAAATTCACAGTCGAGTTTATAATGTGAATTAATACTTGTTAAATTTCCAAACTTTTTTTAATATTTTGCTATGTGTATATTATACATTATACAGCAGGGGGGCAGCCAAGAGTTTTGACTGAAAATATATTTTTCCTTTATAGATTGACTAACGTATGTTTGATGGTGAGAGCTAATATTCTACAATTCAATTAATGTTTGATAAATGATAATGCTTTATTTTTTTTGTTATCATATCTGGAAATGACTATGATTAAGTGAGATATCTGTGACAAAATTTAAAATTTCAACTTTTATTGTTTATATCATACTTGAAATTGTATTCAAAATATAATATAATTAAATTTAAAAATGTCTTACAGTTTTACTTTCTTAGGTTAGATTAGAAGTATTTACAATAATTAAATAATCAAGAATAATTTACCATTTAAAACTGAAAGCCACGGTTCTCTACGAGTAGATAACCATGCTGAAAACATACTAACATTTGAGACTTAAATATAAAAAAACCTAAGTGACTAAAAACCCAAATTTAAAGGACAGTTTCTGAAAAGGGATATAAGTCAATTTTTATAAATGAAAATATTGTATATTTTTTTTTGTAGATAATTTTAAGCCGAGTCGACTAGTGATACTGCAATTTGGCTATCTCATTCTTAATAATACTAGTTGTTTTTATTAAAACAGATTATGTTAAAAAAAATTACATCATAAAGATTTAAAATTATCTGATTTAGGTTGGAAAGCAACAGTATTCTGAAAAATATCTTTATAGTATGATTATTATGATTCATTGCAATATCTCTAGGTTACATTGGTAGGTATTAGGTTACAATACTGAAACTAACGTTGAAGTGTTTCCCAAAAAAATCTTTGGAGCTTTTGAAGAAACATAGATAGTATCCTTGGATTCACTATAAATGTATGGTTTTAAACAGTAATGGTTTGTAGCTTATTAATATTTTATGTTGGGATCATGACACATTGTTAAATTAAAGTAAATTTAATAATGCCCAAATTCAAAACATATTATGCGCATAAGATAAATGGATTTTATCATGACCATAGTAGCCCATAACATAGCTAAAGGCCAGAGTATAATTCACATTCTGCACACTAAAGTTGTTATGGGACTGCGAGGGCATTGCTTGATAAATATCAGACACATTATACATTTCACAGATTAGCAGTAGTATAACTTCAAAATAATTAATTTATCTACAAAATTATTTAGTGAAAATTTTATAGTTAGTCAATAAAAGTCAAGTACCTAACAGTACCTAGGTAATTATAAAAAATAATATTTGAATAAATTGTTAAAATATTGACTATAATTTTTAAGTTTTTTTTTGTTTTCCACAAAATAATAATAGAACCTGTAGAATTATTTGTTAGGTACCTACCTAATAATTATTATATAATGTAACAAAGAATTGGTTTGAGAATTTGACCTATAAATTAATTAACATTTAAGAAAATTATTTAGATAGCTACCAATATCAAAACCAACTTTACTATGTTAATACGTTATACAGTAATAGGTACGTTTGACAAATATCTTATTCACCCATTAATAAATAATATTGCTAACTTACCATTTGATGATTTTAAGTCTCTGTGAATCAACGATATTGGCGCACCATTGTGCAAATAGTTCATGCCCCTGGCAATTTGAATGGCCCAATCAACAAGTACGTCCGGTCGTATTTTCCTTCCCATCAGCACACGATTAAGTGAACCCCCTCGAGCGTACTCCATGATGAGACACAGATTTGGAATTTGCAAACAAACACCCAACATGGACACAATGTTCTCGTTGTCCAGCAGCCAAAACAGATTGGCCTCTTGTTTGACATTCTTCACTGTCTCGCTGATGTCTTCATCAGGATCCTGGCGTGCAGCTTTGACGGCCACCTCCTTATTGTTCCAATAGCCACGGTATACTTTGCCAAAACCACCAACACCAATGACCTCTTCTAGCTCGAGCTCTCCGAAGTCGATTTCAGTAATGTGTGCGTTGCCCACCACTGTAGTGACATTCTCCAAAATGTTGTTCTCAGTGACAAAGTTGGCTGGGAATATACCCACCTTGTCGCCGAGCTTTCCCGTCCACCAACCCTCATCGCCAGATATCTTGGCGTCCGTGGACAGTACCTCAACAATGTCGCCCCGCTTGAGGCTCAGCTCGTCCTCGCCCTGCGCCTCATAGTTGTATATCGCCGTCCACAGTGGCAGGTTGGCGGCGACGGCCGCCTGGTGCTGATGCTGGGTGGCGTACTTGTTCTTGTAGTACGAGGACGATGTGGTGGTGTTCGGGTATGCGGCGTTCGGGCCGTGGAACTTTGTGGTCCGGGATGGCGAGTAGGGATTGCGCAAGTTGGGACTTCCGAAACTTGGGCCTAGGTGTTCCATGGACGACGACGCCGGAGGCATTCGTTACGGCTGCTACCTGATTTCTAAAGCGTCACTGCGATGGTCCTGTTGGACAGCCACTGACATCATTCTCGGGCGCCGTCGATCGCGCGATTCGTCATTCGTGTCGTCGTCGCGCTGGTACGATATTTTTTTTGTTTTATTATTATTGGTGTTGAACGTAATATTATTATTATTCTGACTGCAACACATATATTAAAATATTATAATGTTGGTGGTTTACGGTGTTATTATTATTATTATTATTATTATTATTATTATCGGCTTATCAATGTTGTTGTGGCTGTACAATCTTCCGTGCGCGCGTTGTCACTCGTCAGTCAGTGATCAGTGTAGTGACTATTGTAGTTTCGCTAATCGCTATTTTATAATATTGTTGTGATGTTAGCTGGTGTCGAGCTGCTGCGATTCTACGAAATGTTTCGTAGCGAAATTGCACTGTATACTGGATCCGCTAACGTCACCAGTAAGTTGTACTCACGACCACTCACGAGAGGCGAGAAACCATAGATAATAAATTAAAAAATAAATATCCTTATTATCTACGACGATACACGCAAATCACAATTTAACGGAAAACAAATATTTATTAAATTTACTCTAAAAAACGGTATTGAATTAAAATAAAATAAAACAACCAACAACGTTCAATGAGATTAAAATAATGAATATTATTTAAGTACCTATTAGATTTTAACGTGAATGATCGATCGCCATTTTGAATTTTAAAATACTGTTATCTCCGTTATCAATTAGTGTGATACAATCGTGTAGATACAGATTACAGAATAATTTATTGTACACACAGAAGTCTATAATGAGTTTGCAATCGTACTTATTAGTTATTTTATTCTAAGCCTTTGTGATGTACCTACAATTATTATAAAAATATAAACGTTTAACACGATTTTAGATATCGTGATGTATAATTGAACTATTCAAGGTGGACCCCCCTTAATACATTTGTGATACAACATAATAAGTCGTCGATATGAATATGAAACTGTGGATATAATATTATTTACTCATAGGTATATGGTATCTGTATTACATATTTACATTCTGTGAAACAACTTACAAGTCCGATTATCACAATTACAGACTAAAAATTGGCTGTGTAACCTTAGATTACAGAATGTTCAGTTGTATAATATATGTATGGTTGTAACTTCAAATTTCAATAACGTGAAAAGTCAAAAGTGAGTGAATACACAGTTTTATCACATTATACTTGATTGTATTTTATACTTAAATCTAAAACCAATAAAATTACCTCAACTATCACAGAGCGTAATTAATTAGTATCGTTTCATCTCATTTTATAATGTTTGGTAGGTGGGTCGTGGATCCTAATATAATGTATTGTACCCACCTATCTAATCATTTAGTTAACTAGACTGCTAAATGTCTAATGTAAATGGTTTTAAATGTTGCTACAATTAATTATGAGTATAATTTGGTAATTTCTAATATCATAATAGTTTGGTATCGCCGTTTGCCATATTGCCAATATTGTGATCTCTATAAATCTCTACAAAGATACCGGACTGATAAAGGCTGATGGACAAGCAGTTTTATAAGAACAAGACATATTATTCCTACTGACCTTATCATCCAATGTGATGTGTAGGAGTAGATGCCACAATCTTTATCTAGAAACATTAGCAAAGATTTGTATTTACTTTCAAACCTTTGTTGAGTATTTAACTCATACAGTAATTTAATGATTGCAATCAATTTGTGTATGTATTGTATCTTGTAAATTCTTCTTTAATGACATTCTAGATTCAAACATACTAATTTTACTCTTGATTGCCCAAATAAGATAAAACACTCCAATATCAGATAATGGTTCCTAAACAAGATTTCTCACATTTAAAACTGGTTTTTCATTCAAAAATCTGCCTGTGTACTGGATTGTGTAGCTGTCTTGAACTGTAGCCAATGTTAGGGTCATTCAAAATATTTGGATAATTTGTTTTACCTTTGTACCTTATTAATTTACCCAAAGAAATGTTTTATTCTGCGTTCGCAATTATCAAAACAACTGTATCTACACAAAAAATGTGTGTCTATATTCAAAATAACACTGGGGTAGTTTTGAGTTATGTTATATACTTCATAAATTTTACCAAGTCATTCAAATTGTTGAAAAGTAATTCAATATACTGCCAATTTAAACTTAATAACATCAGTCAATATCGTAACACAATATGCAAAAAATAAAACATGACAATAAAATTAATTAACTCATAAGTTACTTTTTAAAAAAAGTAACTAAACTTTGCTTTTTAACTCTTTAATGCCCAGCCTTGCTATTTTATACTTAATACTATATTAAACATAGATAGGTTCTAACTCATATTGTTTCTTACCTAATTTTGTTAAAACTAAATTAATAGTTTTTAATTTTTCTACTATTTATACATAATGTATGACTTATTACTTTAATTATAACTCATTAAATATTAAAAAAGAAAGAAAACTATGTAAAAATATTAATTTAATTAAAAAAGTTAAAAACTATAATCTTATTAATTATTATTGCTTATAATTGCTTATCTAGCACTTCAATAAATATCAAGATTGTGTCTGCAACCTTACCTCTTGGTGCAGTACTAAATCAGTAAAACGGACCAAAAATTAAAATATTTCAAAAGACAACCTCTGGCTAGTCGCTCAAAACGATTGATAATTATTCCCAACAATGGACGATATTAAAGTGATTACCTCACTTGATACTTTCTACTCTGCATGCATGGATTTGAGGAAACACAACTACGACAAATGCATTGAGAGCTGTTCAATAATCTTATCGAAAAACCCATACGACCAAGTAAGTGATAATTATTAATTACTTGTATCAACTTACAACTCACCGATTGATTACATACAACTTAAATGTGTAAAACAATATTATAACTAAACAGATTTTTCTATGTAAATATAATATAAATTACATAGAACACAAAATGTTGACTAACTCCGGTTTAGAAGTAAACCTAATTTTTGCAAAAAAAACAAGACATATCTTGGAATTGATACTAAATAGCTACAAAAAAAAAATGTTAGAATTAGGACAAATGAGAAAATCTTAAAAATGATACTCAATAAACCATAATTATTATAAACAGTAGATTTTATAAACCAGTGATCACATTAAATAAAACTATATGAAATTATTTGTAATAGGCACTCTTGCAAGTTTTAGACACCCATGTTTTTTCTCACCCATGAATTTCATGGTATATATTAAGGACTTTCTCAATAGACTTATTCAAATAATATATATATATTCAAATTAAGTAACCCATTAGTTTTTATCAATGATTCATATGGTCACTGTCAACATTTAAAATTTTAACATTTAATTTAATTTTGAAATCTTTTACAGATTTTGTAATTTAAAGTCGCAATTGTTTCATTTTAAAAGTGGCACTAATCGTTTTAAAACATTCAATAAAATAGTATATTATTATGCTAAGATGTTGAAGTGACGTCATATGTATTTGTGCCCAATTTTTACTTATATTAACTATCAGGTCCAACTAAAACTAGTTCTTATCAATTTTTCAAATACATAAGGGTATATTCTAATTGTAAGGAAACACAAAGGAAGGTAAAAATATAAGTATGTGACTCTAAATAATGAACTAAAAATAATTTATAATTTTAGTTGTTTATTACAAAAAAAACTGGATGGGAGAAAATTTCGTTGATATTCTATTTGAAAATAATAAATACAGTAAGCTACAACTAAACTCTCATTATGTCAAAATTTAAGTGAAACAAAAAAATATTTTTGGACATTGAGTTGCATTGTAATGGTTATTAATTTAAACGGATTTTCATTGAGTTAGAAATTACAAAATATTTGACATAATAAGAATCTACTGTATGTTTTATTTCTGTATGTTATAAGGCAGCATGGGCTCTAAAAATGCGTGCATTAACTGAACAACTGTCTATTGATGATATTGAAGCAGAAGAAGAAGGCATTGCTGATTCTTACTTTAACTCTGATGCAATAGCTGAAAATGCTAGAGTAGGTACATCATTAAGAACGGCACAAGACACTAGTAACCAAAGGTAAGAGAAAATGTATCAGTTTTACTTTAAAATCTCTAGTTAATTCATATTATCTTATGATAAAAATATGAAATTAAACCTGAATAATAATCTGTTATTTATTTATAGGCCTCGAACAGTTGGTGGAAGGCCCTTGAGTGGTATAGTTCGTCCATCAACTTCATCTGCTGGAGGTAGTAATTTACAAATGGCTTTGAAAACACCACGCACTGTTGGTTCTTCAAGACCATTGACGTCTCAATCAGCTAGAAATATACGCCTTGGTACTGCGTCAATGGTCTCCCAAATTGATGGTCCTTTTATTAATATATCCCGCTTAAATTTTCCTAAATATGCATCTGATAAACAACTTTCAAAGTTGTTGTTCAACTACATATATTATCAACAAAATGATATTAGAAATGTAAGTGTTCATTAAGGGTTGTTTTAGTCATTAATGTTAAAATGTATTTGAATTTGAATGTATTTTTGATACTTCATTTAGGCATTAGACTTTGCTGTCGAAGCAACTAAGTGTTGCAACTTTGAGGACCCTTGGTGGAAAGTGCAGTTGGGAAAATGTTATGTAATGTTAGGATTACTAAGAGACGGGGAAGCTCAGTTTAGATCTGCTTTACAACATGGACCTAATATTGAAGTTTTTTTACGCCTTTCGCGATTATTTATTCGCCTTGACCAGCCTTTAAGTTCATTAGACATATGCCAGAAAGCAATGTCTTGGTTTCCACATGAAGTTACATTACTCATTGAAATGGCTAGGTATTTAGTTATACTTAATGCAGTTATAGTTGAATTTTTTATTATTTTTCCTGCACATGCAATTTCATTAATTTCCACTTAATTAGTGATAGCACTTTATTTTTATAATGTATTATAGATAATAATTTTTTTTACACGTTTTTAATACACAATTATCAAACACAAATTCAATTCAGATGGCTAAAAATAAAAAATTGCACAGGGAGTCGGGGCGATCATTGTAGAAATACTAGAAATCAAATAAGTATACATCTTTTTATTTAATTGATTAATTCAGCTTTATAATCAATGTGAAATTTATCATCTTACACAAATTTTAGTAAAATAGTTATAAATTTGCATGTTTATACTAATTTAATTTTTGTATTTCATGTTATTTTTGTTTCAGAATATTTGAAGGTCTAAACAATATACCAATGTCAGTTAAATACTATAGAGATATACTTGAATTAGATGCAACAGATATGGAATCAATTGCATGTATTGGATTACATCATTTTTATTCTGATCAGCCCGAAGTAGCCTTAAGATATTATAGGTAGATATTTAATTTTAAGAATATTGTTCAATATTTACTTTTGTGTTTGAATTAGAATTTAAATAATGTTGTTGTTTCATGCAGGAGACTGCTACAAATGGGCTTATACAATGCTGAGCTTTTTAATAATCTAGGACTGTGCTCATTCTATGCCCAACAATTCGATGTAGTTACAGCATGCTTTGAAAATGCATTAAGATTGGCATTGGATGATAATGCAGCTGACGTCTGGTACAATATCAGTCATGTGGCAATTGTGCGTATCTATTATGATATGTTTCTATTCATAAGAATGGTTTTTGATATTGTGTATTCCGCAGGGTTTTGGAGATTTGGATATAGCTGAGCACAGTTTGCATTTAACATTGTCTTTGAATAGTTCTCATGGTGCAGCTCTAAATAACTTGGCTGTATTGATGTGGCGTAAAAATAATGTGTCTCGGGCAGAATCCTTATTGAACTCTGCAATAGCAGCTGAAGATCACCTTTACGAACCACATTATAACAGAGCTTTACTAGCTCAAGAGGTAAAGACTTGGTTTTTGAGCTACTTAAATAAATTTTGTTAAGTTAAATTTTAAAATCTCAAATAAATCTGAATAAAAATTTGAACAGTTTACATTTTTTTTTAAATTAAATTCTAATACAGAGTAGTAGAACAATTAAAACAATTTTGAATTTTATAACACAATACTCACAACTTATTTGTATAGTATTAATTTAACTTAATTATTTTTAACTGATATTTAAAAAGGTGAATTAATCTTAGAATGTAAATGAAACATTATATCTAAAATAGATTGGATTGTTGAACTTTTTTTGGATAAAAGATATTATGTACAAAACAAAACATCAAAATAATATGAATATAATATATCTCTTGTTTTATATTTAAGAAATTTTTAAATTAAATAAGGTATTTGGTAAATATTAAATAATTTATAACAATACATTATATTACTAAATAGTTAATTGTTAATATTTTCTTTTTCCAGGAAGGTGATCACCAAACAAGTTATGCTATGGTAAAGAAGTCACTTTCAATATATCCTAATCATTACAATTCTAGAGATATTTTAAACGAATTAAAAAAATATTTTTCTAGTCTTTAAAAATGATTAGTTTAGTCTATAATTTATTAATTAATTGTATAATTGTATCTCTTGGTCATATCTTTAACATGTAATTAAGGATGACATTATAATTAAATATTATCTATCAGGTAACATTTTTTTTTTACTTATAAACAAACTGGTTGAAATAAATATATGTTTTTTTTCTTTCTTTGTAACATTGTTGTTGGAATCGTCTAATATAGAATGAATAAATAATTGGTCGTTTTGGATTAAGATATGTTACAATCCGATGTTAATTCCCTTTTTTGCTGCTATGGGCAGAAATTCTCCTTGTAAGTATGGATTAAATGCCTGTAAAAACAAAATTTATATTATAAGGTGTAACAAGAAGACATTACAAATTAACTAGTTTTAGTTCTAATCAATATTCTTAATTTTAATTATTTCATACTGAAAATAAAAATTTTAAAATATAATTGAAATTTATTTTGAAAAATTTAAAAAAAGTCAACTTAAATACATTTATTTTACAATCATCATTTTTCTAAAAACCAGATTTACACATTCGACAATTTTGAATTTAAAAAAAATTTACACCAGATTTAGTTTTTTTATTTTCAGGATAAAAAATGTTTTATAACACATACAGCCCAAGTATCATTAAAATATATAAAAAAAAACGAATTTTAAATATTGATTAAAACAAAAGTTATTTAATTTGTCAGGTCTTGCTGTTACACCCTGAATTGTGTTAATCATTAAATTTAATGTTCTTACAGTTGTGCTTATGCGCAACTAGCATTATTGGTGTATCTTGAAAATTAACTAGAAAACTGAAGCAAAAAATACTAACCTTTTTAACATGGAATTTTTTTGCAACCAAACTCTTATGTTCATCATCTACCTGTAAGGATTGAATACATAGTCGTCACATATTGAGAACAATAAAATATTGAATAAATATTCAAAATACCTGAAATGTTCTTACTAGTTCATCCATGTCAACGCTGTGTTTGGTGCCAGTATTCGATCTTGCGCAGTCAAACATGTGTTCAGAATCACACATGCATTCTTGGGATTCCTGATAATCTCGACTGAACGCCGCCGTATTTTCAAAATCCATTATACAACCATCTTCGTCTAAAAGTGTAAGAGTACCATTTCTTTGAAACTTTTTTTTCTTAAGTTCTTTATTTCAACTTTGTTGATATTTATTATCTTTTATTACATGAGATAATTAATTTAAATATGTATTGATACAGTGATACAAGTTTTGTGTTCAAGTCCTTTGACTCCCTTATATAATATCCTGCAGAGAAAGAGTAGATATAACCTACTTTAATTATTCGTAAGTAATAATTTGGTTCGTACATTTTTTTTCCTAAGAATATTTTTATTTTTTTAATTTACTAAGAAAATCGTAGGCCGTAGCCAGGCACGGCGCCAAGGGGTGGCAAGGTGGGGCTCTAGCCCCCCCCCCCCNTAAGAAAATCGTAGGCCGTAGCCAGGCACGGCGCCAAGAGTTGGCAAGTTGGGGCTCTAGCCCCCCAGAAAACAGATAAAACAGATCAGCCTCCCCCCACTGAAAAATATGTACGATATAATAAAGTCATTTAGTCATAATACATTATTTTTAAATAAGAGCGACATCAAAGAATTTATGAAATATTCCTTTTTAGTTTATGAAATACTATTGTATTTTCGAAAACATGTGTATTAAGTTGTTGCCGTTATAAACACTGATATAAATATGTAATAATATTAATATTTTATACGGGCGTGCGACGCGGCGTATCAATACGTCAACATGCAACGCCCGACTTATAGTCTATTTTGAAATAGGTAGAAAATAAATAATAATATTAAAATTAGATATCAATTGTTAATTACTAAACACATCCTTTAATTTATATTTATGAAATGTAGGTAAGTAAAAGAAACATAATTATTCATTCACAAAGGTATGTAATATTAAAGTCATAAAGAAATTATCATGTTATCATTATGAGAATAGTTGTTGAAGGTCTGTGATTAAACATTTTCTTACATATTACATAAGGTACAAAAAAAATATTTGACATTATTCTTAAAACATTTTTAACTATTCAAAATTTTGTATATATTATCTGTTTAGACGTTAAGAGCATACAATTTAAAACTTATGTAGTAGCCAGTAGGTATGTAGCTAATAGGCTATTAGTAATAGCTAAATTATGTTATATGCTACGAAAATATTTATATTTCATTTAAATGACCTCAGCATTTGTTGAAACAATTTTAGCCCATGTAAAAAAAATATTTGCCCCACTCTGCCCCCCCCTGGAAAAAAATTCTAGTGCCGTGCCTGGCCGTAGCCATAGTTTTTATTCGTATTTATTAAATTTGCTACAAATAGTAGGTAGCTTCTATTTCAGTTTTAACTAATTGGTTATTTTTTATTGACTTTTTAGCGTCTATTGTACCTTAGTTTTGTACTTGAGTATAATAACTTACCCGTGTATCCCACCGGACATGGGTTGGGCGGGTTGCAGTAGGCCGGCAGCGCTGCGTCGGTTTTCACTTCATTTTTGTTTCTCGTCGGACTGTCTGGGTTCAGAATCTGCACTCCTTCGCCGGCACCACCTATACATACAGCCAGGAAAAACAACAATGTATTTATTTAGATATATATTATATTGTTGTAGACAAAAGTGGGCATTACTGAATTTAAAAGTTTATCATTTTTTTAAAACTTTTTAATTTTACTAGTTGGTAAATTTTCTAATCAACTTGATAACTTAAATGGCCAATGTAACTTCGTATCCGTTGTAATAACTTAGCCATATTACTTAAAATTAACTAAAAAACTTAGTTAAAATAAAGTTCAAACATATCTACTTATAACAGTTACTTGTATTTAAAATTAAAATAATTATGATTAATTAATAACTAAACCAGTAGGTACAAGTGTACAACTCGTAGTCGGGATTAATAGAAATAGTTGGATACATTAAAAAAATATATAATTCGTTTTTATAAAAACATTTTAAAGTTGTATGCAATTACCGTGTGACCCAGGTGGTTATTAAATGAAATCAACCCGATTTCGCCCGTGAAAAAATAAAAAAAATATAAAATATAGCTATGAATAGGTATATTTTGGTTTTTCTCAGTACACGATGCAACTCACTTTGTGAACTAATTTTACCTAACCTAACCTCGTCTGCCCGAGCAATTAATGGCAATCATTTGTAAACAAAAATTTCTATCGTGAATCTCAAAATCCCCGTTTGAGCACCTCACCGGGTTGGAACCTAAATGTGAATCCAAACCATCCAAGTACCCACTCAAACAATGTTATTAAAATCGGTCCAGTCGTTTAGGATTAGTTCAAATAGGTGGTTTGTATGTAAACACACGTACAGAAGAATTATATATATTATAGTGTGAGTCACCCTTCTAAAATCTTATATATTCTGTATCTCCAGGCACCAGCTATAATGGACCGTATAATAAGGAGAATAAACGAACATTGCACGTACCGCTCATGTACTGCGCTCCCCACAGCGTGCCGTGCTGCACGTACTCGTTGTCCCGGATCGACGGCACTGCGTTCGGGCCGTCCGCGGCCGCGTCATCGTAGTCGGCACCGGTAGGTTCACGTTCAGTGGTCTTCATCCGCGGCCCATACCTCGCCGCCGCGTCGTACTTGCCACCGTCCATCTCCGACTTGACGATGTCCTTTTCCAGTTGGTTGATAACGTTCTCCAGCAGTTTGCTTCGAACATACTCAGAGTCCTGCGGGATTATCGCGGAAACAAGATTTAATAAAATACAATGTTATAGTTTGTGACTTATATGATGCCTAAAATACTTTCATCAGTGGTCGTCACGTAAGGGAGTAAATAAAAACGAATATCGGAAGCTCGAGAACAATATTATAGCATATAGGTAGTTTAGCATATACGATATACCTACATATAATACTTATTACAATTATAGAATAAATAATAAAAATATTTAGCTGTGACGATTTCTCATTTTTAAAAACTATTAAAAATGTACCCAACCCTTTCCTGAGATTAACTAGGTACTTTACCCACTATTGTTATTACTGATGATTAGAGATAGCGATGGTAGTAGGTTTATAGGTACAATTTAAGTCTTTGACTTGGATAGCTCCAATTACTATTTAAATGAAATAGAGACTTGAGGGGCCTTGCCCAAGCATAGTGCACACCCTCTGTTACGGATAATTATATCACTTTATACAATATAATATGACATATATGTATTCATCATTTTTATCTGAGTCACTTTCTTATATTTAATATATTATTTTTTTCCGATTTACCTGAAAAAATAATTACTTTAATAGATCAATCATGGGCCACTAAATTACCGGTGCAACATGATTGCGCTCGGCTTACCTTTTTCCATTCAAAAAAGACAACACGATTGCGCTCGACCAATTAGCACTATCGGCTATCGCGCCCGTCTTATCTATTTTACCTGCATAAAATGCAACACTATTGCGCTCCAGTATGTATAATATATTAATATGTATATATATACATGTTATGTATAATACTAGCTGATACTGTGCACTTTGTTACCCGTTAAAAATGCCAATTCTATATGAGACTCGATGGACGATGATGGTAATGCGAGGAGCAGTAGGTATGTTATGCCTACCTGCTGTGTATTATTGAAATAATAGGTTTTATATTTATTTTTATTGCGGACACGCCGATGAGCAGCTATAAGCGCAACTAAGCCACCTTGGTAGGCAATGTGCGAAAATTCAATTGAATGAATGCTTAAGGGGATTCGATACCAACCATTTTTTCGACTAAAACATCCAATATTTTGTCCAAGTCCGATGGACCTAATAATGCGATAAGATTTTTAAAAACTAATTTGAATTCGTTATTATGTCTTCTTGAGATCGACCACGTCACTTTTTCAAATTTTGGCCCCTAATCTTTATAATATGGATTTAGAAATTGTGAAACTTAAAAAAATTTAAGTTTTGATTACACTGAATTAAAATTGTAAATTCAAAAAAGTTACTGGGCCGATGAACCACTGCAGGCAACCAATGAACAAAAAAAAAATAACCATTTCTACTAAATATATTTATATTTCTCCTATAACCAATAGCAACCGTATATAAACAAATATTTTCATTGTAAATCTTAAAATCTCAATTTGAGCGACTCCCCGGGTCGGACCTATCGGGTCCAATTGTGAATCTAAACCATCCGGGATTGTGTCTTGTAAGATTAGTAACATACAATAAAATAAACTAAAATTGTACTTCCGCAGTTTTTCTGGTAACGCCAACAGCGGAAAATGGAAAATGAAGTCGTAATAATCGAATAATCATATTTCATATAGATAAAACCTAAATTGTATCACTACTATTGACTTTTGCGTTCTATGTAAACTGTAAAGAGAGGGTATTTACGACTATAAATAAAATCGAACGGAATAAAAACAATACGAAAATTATCACTTAACAAAATTTAAACTTTATATAGTGAAACATAATATTAATACCTAATATTCAATACACGATATACTTCTTCATGTTGATCCATTTTTTTGGTGTTGGCCGGGGGCCACATTTTAACGATTAATTTATGTCATAGGTATGTTCAATTTTATAAGCTAAAGCTTGTTATAGCTTTTTTAATTCAAAAAAACATTCTGGAACTCAAAAAAAAATTTTAAAAATAGAGGTTTTCCAATAAATGTTTACGTAAAAACCTTCTCCTGCTGGCAATTACGAAAAATTAAAAAAAAATTGAGCCAAATCGGCCCAGCCGTTCTCAATTGATGAATTGTTATACATTTTTGGCTCTATTTTTATGTGTATAGATATATTCTAAGAATTTTCTAGTACACTATTTAAAAATATAGTCGGACTGGGTTTTCCTTGGACTTGATTTCCTAATATGTATAACCGGGTAATTGAGATAATGTTTTATTGTTAATTTATCTTTCGTATCAGAATGCGTCAATGATAGTGTCGTGATCGGATTTTACATTTGAGCTGCAATTGACTGTTGGTTGTTGATTGTTAACTATTTTGAACCGTGTTAAACTCACTAACTGTTTCGTAAACTGTGAAATGGTAATAAAAATAGTGTAAAAATGGATCTAGCTATATCAAAAAAGTTTGAAACTGAAAAAGTAAACCATGTATATTATTAAATAATCATAAATATAGTTAATATTAACTAACTTAAAAACCTAGGCAATATTCGATATCGGTGTACTAACAAAAATTGTCAATCAAGTATAATATATGTTGAGAACAATGCCATGAAAGTTCTTAGCATGCTTAATCAACACAATCATGATACTATTTCGGAAAATATCGTTAGGACGTTAGTAGACAAATATTAAATTCCCGAATCAAAAGAAAATGTGAAAACGATTTAATCACAAGCCGAACAAAATAATTTGACAAGAACTACGTAGCACAGAAAATTATTAACATACCGTTCATTTTGACATTAGATTGTGGAGAAAAAGTATGTACGATTTCCGTAAAAAAATTGCCAACAATTCCAAAGTCACTGGAAGACTCAAAATTTCAATTATTTAACTTGCGTGATACTCTTAAAACTAATATAGATAAATAATTTTGCTACACGGAAGAAATTTCAAATATAGTTGTATTGACTTGCCCAACTAATCTTATATTAAGTCGTTTAAATCATATTTTTGCTGATGGTACATTTTTACATTTACCAAAATACTATGATCAACTTTATACAATTCATACGCTACAAAACAGTTAGGTTAAATTATGTATAAGGGACCATTAAGCATTAGTTGACAATTGATTCGATCAAATATTATATTTAGTGAACATTCATGTAACCCGTCATTAATATATTAATGGACCTATTACGAAAATAAAAAATATTTTAAGTAATAAAAATCATTTAGGTGTGTATATATTTATTAGGTGCTATTATTGTAACCAGCGATTTAAAATTGCAAATTTATCCAAGAGGCAAGAATGGCTTGTTAAACAATTCGATCATATGACAAATTCGGTTCAATATAAGTTATTGATATATTTGTAAATATCACTGATTCATCAAAGTTCGAAGTCAATTCTTAATCTTCCTCGTTGCTGAGAAATGAGATAAGAGATATTCCACATGTCACAGAGATGATTGGAATTGTTAATAATGATAAAAACAGTTTCCCATATCTCATATCTGCTATGGAAAATACATCAATAATGAATTATTGTTGTTTAAACTTTAATGTATACTATGTATTATGTATAGAAGATTTAATTTATTTTTCAACTATAATACACATTAGGTACCCTGGTGGGGCAAATTTTAAAATTAGAAGGGTTAAGCACTTAAGCCCTTCCAATCACCCCTCCAAATTGAGCATAATATAAATTTATATTATACTAGCTGATCCCTTGCACTTCATTGTTCGTTAAAAATGCTAACTCTATATGAAACTCGCTCGTAATAATGCAAGCAGTATATTATCAGTAGGGCTGTGAATTTGTAGGAAAGTACATTTTTTTGGTGATTGTGAAACGTAGCTTTGTAAGTACATAATTTGAATTGTGTAACTACGAATCCATTTCTGCAACTTTTATTTTGCGTTTTTTTGCATTTTTAGATCTTATTTTCCTTTTTAGATCATTTCCCAGTATTTTTAATCAAATTCCTTCAATCGACGGAAAAAATTTTTGCACACAGGCTATATATACATCCATAAATTAAGGCAATTGCTAGGTAACTACATAAGTTAGTCGTAAGTTATTTATTTCTAAAATGTTCAAAAAATGTTTCAGGTGAATAGCATTTTATATAGAAAATTCAAATTCAACCAACATTTTTATTAAATATAAACATTTGTTTATGCATGCAATGTACTCATGTATGATATCTTGGACCTAATGTTAATATAAATATAAAAATTAAATTAAAAACCATTTTAAATAAATTGTATATACTATAATTTTGGACATTTTATATTATATTCAATTCACAGCCCTAATTATCAGGTAGACAATCCACCTGGGGTGGATTGCGGACCCCGCAAGGTGCATACACTATAATATGTTTTATTTTTATTTTTATTGTAGACAGGCCGATGAGAGGCTATAAGTGCAACTCAGTTACTTCGGTAGACAATTTGCATAAATTTGATTTGATGCATGCTTATATACCTGATCTGCCCGATAACCAATGGCAACCAAAAAACAAAAAAAAGTACTAATTTTTACTAAACAATTAAGAATAGATTGTAGAATTTTTCTTCTCAGAACAATGAATAAAAACGCCGATCAAACACATAATTTGACAGACAAAAAGGTCAAAGGTGCAGGTATAGCTGAAAACCCGAGGGCCGCTTTGCCGTAAAATCTATATACATCTATATGTATATTTTATTCTATGTCAGTTGCGTTTTATTACACCATATTATTTTATGTCACGTTCTACAGGAACGGGATAAAAAGTATCCTATGTCCATCTCTTGGTTGTAAGCTACATCCCTACCAATTTTCAGGCAAATCGGATCAGCTGTTCTTGAGTTATAAATAGTGTAACTAACACGACATCCTTTTTTTCATATATTTAATAAATTACTCATTACTGCATCATCACAACAGAAGCTGGACACATATAGTTTAAAAATATATGTTCATGATTAGCTAGGCATGGTAAGTAGGTACTAAACTTTGTATAAAATATCAATCAAATTTTATTTAAAATAAATTTTATTGTGCATTATTATAAGACGTATTCAAAATGTATGATAGATTTTGAAGGTATATTACAATTCACAGGACACACGTTGATGTTGACTTTTGTTTGCTGAAATATGAAAATGAAAGTTTAATACCAATTATCTACTGCTGGAAAATTCGAAAGATTTGCTCTGCCGTTGGCGCACAGATCGATACAGTTCAATAAATTGGTAAATCTGAGGACCATTTCAGAAATAGGAAAACATACATGTCGCTTAATTGTATCTTGTAACTTGTAAGTACAGTCAATTTATGATGATGATTAAGTAATATTATAACCCTGTACCGCTCATGAATCGTGTGATTTTCGTTTAGGTATCATAATCATGGTGACATGGTATAATGCGATTATAGGTAGGTACCTATAGCTGAAATATTTGTCTGTTTGAGTGATCAATTATGTAATGTGTAAATTATATTATATTATTGGTTCATTGATTCTTGGATGTTTACCATTAGTAGGTATTTAAAAACATTCTACCATAAGTCCATGAATATGTACCAGTACCAGGCACACTAGCAATCAAACTGTAAATGTCTTATCCAAAATAAATTATTTTAAACAAACAAAATTAATGTATTAATGGGTTCTGTCAAAATTATTGCATGATAAATAAAATATTTAATATAATATAATGATCAACATATGCCTATGCATTGGTTAATATCTTAATGATAATCAATAATATTAGGTACCAAACAATATTTATGTATAAATAATAAATAAAGTACAGACCTTTACAATTAATGAAAGTTATCGCGATGTTTAGGTTTAATGTTCAACCATCAAGTTATTAAAATATATAAAAAATCAGGGTTGGAAAAAAATCCATTAAAATATGTAATTACTCAAATATATGTCATAAATATGGTTGGCTGCTCTTACACCACAAAATGTCCGCAATATATTTCATTGTCGGAAAAACATACTGTATTTTGACAAAAGGTTGACAAGTAAATAATGGATTTTTTTAATGTTTTTTTTTTACAAAATTAAAACATATATAAAACACTGTTATGTAACGTAGCATAGTACATTAGAAGAAAACATTAACTCTATTTATAGGTAGGTATACCTGTTATATTTGAAGGTTCAATGTTTTTCAATTAATTTCAATAAATTTATTATAAGCAGCATGTGCTTTGTGCAATGTTGTAAATATTATTGTTGTGTATACCTGAACTGTAGTACACACAACACGACGAAACATGTACGTTGAACACACATTTAATTTACTTTTAAATCAACTAAATACACTTATACACCTATATTATTATTTATTATTACGTTATAAATATTCTAAAATCAAGTCTTCAGAAATTTAAACACCATAGCATAATATAATGCTATATTGCTATGCATGTTTGATAATTATAACTATTGAAGTACCTACATACATACTATATTTATTATTTGCCTATCTACCATAGTAATTTATTTATTAACACCATAAAGCTTAAATCTTATTTCTTTACAATGAATTATGTACCTATAATTTATTTGACTTCCAGATTAATTAGGTACTAGTACCGCTATTATGAAATTGTCGGGATATACGAGGTGCGCTGTATAAATTCACAATTAAAGCTCACCTACTATTACAACAACAAGAAAGGTAAAATGTTGTATTTTTAATTTTAAGCTGTGATGTGATGAGCTATGAAAGACAACACAACATATGACTAATGATTGATAATAATATTTTATAATATAAAGTTTATTTTACAATCTAATATGCCATATACTCATATGTGTACTTTTAGTGTGGATAAATGTATAATACTTAATTAGGTAGTAGATGTATTCCAACGTATAGACGAACTGTTACATTTTTATTAGGTTCCTACAATCCTACCTACCTAATAAGCATGAGTGCACAACTCATCAACATATTCAAACACATACTGGATCACCTCCACCTCACAGAAGAGGACATGAAGCGCTAAGCTCAAATCCAAAAGAAAAACCCTCATATGCCGAAGCCACAGCGAACGCTCCATCCGATCTTCTGCAAATTGCCACCAATTTCCTTAACGAGTTAAAATTAGTTCTAAACCCCTCCTAGCTACTCTAATATGCCTAATAAACAAATTCCCACTCCCCATCACTCCCACTCCTTAATTAAATCAACACAATCATCTTATATCTTCCGACCATTCATACCATATCTATTAGAATATTATTGTATTCACATTACCTTCTATATATCTAAAATTACCAATTACCAATTATCCATAGTACTTCAAAATATTTTTAATTATCACGTTAATCTATCAAAACTAATATGTAAATTGTCAAACATCACTAGATATAGATAGCCTTAGGCAAGGAATGTCTTATGTTTAAAATTAATAAAAAAAAAATAGGCATGAGTGCAAGACTGACATTTTTAATTGTTTTAATTGATAAACTTGTTATTGTATCTAACTATATTATATTTTGTGAACAATATCGATATTTCTAAATATTTTTTATAGCCTAGTTCTTAACCTAACCTAAGCCCTAGGGGTGAGATGATCTTATGATAGAATTTCCTCGTGAACTTTTGACAAATAATCAAAATTATAATAATACAATATTACATTCAATTAAGGTACCTATACCTATACATATTAATATATTATATGATATTGAGTCTTGCGCATTAATATAATAATCTGTTGTTCGGGGGATGATGCAGCGCTAGTAGAGTCATACGTCCACGTGTCAATACGTCATTACTCATTAGTTAATGATGACTGGAGTCCCGGACCGCGGAAAATTATTACATTAACGAAAATGTATGTCACCTCGAAATACTACAGATACTGATTATTAATTATGTAGGTAGAAATTCACTTATGATATCAATGTGTGTTGGTTAAGAGACGTGTGAGACGACTGGTGATGGTAGTTAGGTAGGTATAACTGATTATCAAGACTGCATTTAATGGGTGAGGAAGTGAAAAATCCTAATCCGATTGCTTTTTTTCCTAATTAAACAAGCACAAATATTTTTTATATTACACAATATGTAAGTATATAAGTAAACACATAACCATATTTACTAAACTGTTCACTGCTATGGGTATCTTTAGTGTACAGGTAGGTTTATTTGAACATTTCAAAATAAGTTAAGAAGGTAGCGAAGGGACCTCAAAAAATTGTAGGTACTTACGAGTATTCATTTTTTAGTATCAATTTTTGACTCTATAATATAGTAGCAATAACATTACAATAATACATTTATATATGACTGTTGAAAACCAGTCAGATTTCATGCATTAAGGTGTCTATAACCACATATATTTTTGGGGCCCCTTGGTCTAAACTCTAAAATATGTGAAAGCTTAATTTCCTCGATATATACCCGAAAAAGAAATATTATAATGTTCTAAAATTAAAATATTGATTTTAAGAAATACAACATTTTATACGGGTCGAGACTGACCGCTGTGATGATATCGTGATGTCATAAAGTGGCACTATATATTACATCTAAATAATATCGACTTTCGTGCATATTTGTACTGTGCACTTGACAACTCTTAAAATGAATTAGCTTTTGTTATTTCATTAATCACTATGATCAGCCAACAGGAGGAGTTTGCAATTTTTAATCATAAAATCTTCTTTGCACCCGGCCCTGCTGAAAATACTGCATTTATCGTCTACACTTAGTGCTTTTCAACGTCGGTATCCTGAGCTGCACACAAAATGCTCTGGATATAATATGTCCATACGCGAACAAACGAGGGATCTAAATTTTAAAAAAACTCCACAGCCAAAACCCTATGTACCCTCGCTTATACAAGGCCCACGGCCGAGGTCACATGAGCACACGTGGAATACCTGAATCACGTGCGCTAATCAATAAGCATTACATAAAAATGTAACACACAATATATTATAACAAGATACTATAATATATTAATTTAATTGATGTACAGGTGAAAGGTACTCACTTTTATATTTGCCGAGTACTTTCCAAATGCGATTACATAAGCGGGCACCAAAGCAATGCACAGTATGATAACGTTCGTCGCCATAATGATGGAGCTTCTCGTATGCCTGGAAAATGGATGGAAACCGAGATGAAAACGGACAGATGTTAGGTAAGTAAGTGCACGCGTACACTGCGAGCGGGCGTACTGCAGTGTATGACGATGATGTTACAATATATAAATGTGTGGGAATATAAATGTATATATATATGTGTGTATATCGACGGAGCGACGAGGACTCGCGAGTAAGGCGCGCCGCGGTGGTGATTTTGAATTTGAGTGTTTTTTTCCAGGATTTTCTCGATCGTCCTGCCTGTGACGATAAAACCGATGAACGACCTTCCTCTCGTTACTACACTCGGCGATAAAAAACGTTCACTGGTCGTGTAAAATATTATACCCTCCCTAAATTATTTTAATAACGATGTTTCTATTCGTGACACTGTTGTTGTTAAAAACAGATCGCGGGCGCCCGCAGCTGGATAAAATGCAACTGATGTTCCTATAACCTACACCGACCGGGAAATGCACTCGAGACGCGCTGCGGTAGGTACTCTGCACAATGTCATAAATTCATAATATTATGATATTATTATTAAAATACCTCAAACCATGAACAATAATCGCGTCTCTCGAGTGTGTGTCTGCACAATATGATACGACTACAATCTAAATCACACGAAATAAATATTTTCGTTACAAATTAACGTGTTATATTATTATATTATATTGTCATTACCTAGTGTCTATAATAATATGTACCTAGGTACCGTCAAACGCGGAAACGACCCGCATATACGGCCGTACCCCGCTATGCGGCTGTTGCTGCACTATATTATTATTTATAATTATAACATAATATATTATTTTCATCGTATCGAAAACCCGCGTATATAGTTGTTGTTTCAATACATACGATTGCGAATCGAGTCCGTAGATCATTAACTATTATCACATTTCAAAAACATTATTTATTCCGTCGTAGATGCGAACAGCTTCTAATGTGTACCGCTCTTCGGCGCGACGCGCGCATTTTACAGGACCCTACGAATTATTATTATTTTTTTTTTTTTATAAGCGTTTTACGTATGTTGTTTGTATAATTATTTTATCGTCCGTATCACCGTTATTTAAATTACCTTTTTCAACGATATGACCCGCATATATGTGTATCCACTCCGTGTTCCACAGGTAGACGACGCGTCGGCAGGGGGGCAAGTCGTGTGTGCGGCGGATCAATAGGCGCGGCCGCCTGCGATGTGGGTGCGTGGCGTTTGGCGTACTCGACTTACAGCGTATTATTATTATTATTACGAACCCCGTCGGAAAACTCGTCGCCGCCGTTGGCGTCGGCGTCGACGGTGACCGAGCTCGGACCGCGACGCCCCCCGACGAGAAACGCGCGCCCGGTGACTGACGGTGGCGGAAAACGCTATTTTCTTTTTCATCTCCTTGTAATAATATAATTTATAGCCGTCTGTCGCTGCAGTGACTTTCGTTTCTACGATTTTCTAAATTATAGCATCGTGCAGCAGCCTGCAGGGTAGATAATATAATATAGGTGCCTATTTTAATGACAAGTATAATGTATAAGCCTGCAGTAATGGCGTCCTATACAAGTACCGATCGCTTCAGGTCTGAAGAGAGGATAATGAAAAATATCACAACCGAAGAGGAGGCAAATTCCCCTTTCACCACCCACGACTCATCCGAGAACGTCACTAGATCTGCAACGGTCTAAGTGTATAACTATATTATTGCACCCTGCAGGCATAAAGCTATATATATATAGCGTTAAAGCCATTTTGGCAGGGTATGGAGGTATGAATCGATTTGCATACACTACTGAGTAACATAAATACATAATATATCATTTTACTATTTTAGAAAGCGTAAATAACTTATGGATGAAAAAGAAGACGTTTTTATATTTTATTTAAATACGAATTCATATTTTGTACTACGCTATTGCCCGGCCCTCGGCGGCGGTCGCATCAGTTGCTAGAATATTTAATACTTACTAACCTACTCAATACTTTAACCGATGTTATAAAACATTTTACAGCTTGTAATTCATTCATACGTATGACATAATATGCGTTTTATATTATTATACTTCAATACTTCATAACTTTTACAAGTTTTTTTTTCTTTTTGTTTTCATGGTAATTACCATTTGTTTATCCATTTTATTGTTTGTTTACCTTAATGGTTGTGTTATATTGCTCATATGTTTTTATAAGTATAAATTGTGTTGTTATACTCGTATTGCTCATATGTTTTTATAACTATAAATTGGGTTGTTCTATTGGGCTCCAAGCCCGTTAATAAATATATAAATATAATTATTATTATTATTATTGTAATCATCTTATTAAAAGAGCTGTTCTCGTGTTTATATTTAATAAGGGTCAATATTTAGGCAATATGCAATTTCGTCGCCACTCAAGTGACCTTTGCGTTGGCCGTAATTGAATGAAATATAATAATTAGTGTGAGTGCGGTTGTATTTGCGGGTACCTGGATATCTACCCACGCACTTCAAGTGTGAAAATGAAAAGCGTGATTTTTCGCTCAAAACACACTTTACTGGAAAAAATCGAACTTCAATGTGTAAGAAGTTTTTCTTTTTCAATAAAAATCGAATTACTCTATGATGAGACGTGAAAGGTTATTTCTGTATAAGGTATAATTTTAAGAAGAAACAAGCAATGGTAATGCATGCTGCAGGCCCCTTGAACAATACGTTATAAATTATAATATTCATATGTATAACTGAAGGTAATATTCATCTGTATAACTCAAGGCCATAGGGTCATAGGGGCACCTAGTGGCGTATCTGGGTAGGGGGTATGGGGGCTTCAGCCTCCAATAGTCCTTGTTTTGGTATAAATCTTATACAATAAAAGGCAAAGTACAAATTATTATATATTTTCTGAAAACTGAAAATTAAAAAATGTTTTTAATTATCATAAAAATTAGTGGGAACACTATAATGCACTATTCATAACTTCCCAGAGGTGTTGAAAATTTGATGACATTCACAAAAAAATATAAACTTAGTCAACTTACAAATTCCAAAGAACAGAACTTTAATTAATGCATACCTACCTATAATGCTTATCTATTTAAACGATAAAAAGTGGGGATGAGCATGCTTGGTGAATGTGAATTGTCATATATATGTGTATTGCTCATTGTGTAACCATAATAGTAAGTTCGGTATTACTTTTATAGCATACTTTTACAGGCATACCTACCTATATTAATTTATAAACATAATATTACATTATTATGCTAATATATTCTATTAAAATTTATGTAAAGATTACATTTTCAATAATAAAAGGGGTGTAGTCGTAAAAATACATTTCGAAGAAAGAGCTGAAAAGGGTACTTAAATGCTTTTTAATGGAAAGCTCACACTAGTGTAAATGTATGAGATTGAGATAGCAACTATATTCAGTTTATTCGCCATGTATTATAGTCAATAATAAACAACAATACGCCGTTGATCGTTAGCACATAAAGTATAACGAGAATAATATAGTAAGTACTAGACTTGACAAAATGCCAATATCATTCGTTCATTCCTATAATATAATATAATATTACATACAGATTACTGGGTAATATGCATTCATTTTATCGTTACAACTTACAAGACTAATGAAGATCACGTGATATTAAAACTACATGGATGCAATAATTATAACAATACGCATTCCGATCTTATATAATATCTTTTGACGATACGTACCCACACGATTCTTGTTTCAAAGGGATGTTCTGAGAAATTCACAATAACGCATCATATGATCTACTTAGTGCTCGTTATTTATAACGTTTTTCGATTTATGAGTGAATATTATGGCCATTGTGAATATCATTATTATGTATAGCCATGTTAGTCAGTATATATATATCTTTTTGTTCTGACTCGCCCATAACAAATGTAAACCTCAATATTATGTTATATCATTTAAATGCTAAACGTGTAATACATAAATCTACTTAACATACCTATTATATTATTGCAAAATACCTACGCCGATTGGCTATGAGGATCGAAAATAAATAAATAAACAATATACCTACCTATATAATACTGCTGCAGCATGCAGATATTGAACAACTGCGTATATATCACGTATATTGTGGTGCCTAAAGTCACTGTGTATGTATATATATTATTGTGCTTGTTCGTGTACAATGCACCCGAGAGACACAAATTAAATAACACATAGCTGGTGCCCTTCGAATTGGGGATTAAACTTATATTACACACCGTTTTAATATCATTTATATTTTATGTTTTTCAATAACGCCGTTGGAATAAATTATTTTGCACTGTAATTTATTTTATAGATAGGTTATAGGTATAGCGGAGTGTCCTTCGTGCTGTACATATAATTATATATTTTTATGGAATTAGAACGTAGTGGCAGGACAATAACAGAAAATTCAATTATCCCCATGAGAAAAATCCCAACACCGCGGCGTCCCGTAGGGTATATGTAATACATATTAGGTACCTACATAATATACATATATACCTACCTTTATGGTATATAATGCAGCGTTCTGCCTTTATATATATATATTTCAAAGTAACCTAGTTAATGTATATAATATACATATATATGTATTTATGTACTATGTATATATGCAAGTATATATGTATGCATGTAAGTAAGTATATATCTGATGTATAGTGTGTGTAAATAGAAATTCTGTCACGCATGTTCTCTGAAACTATACTCATCCGATTTTCTTGATTTTTTTTTAAATGAAAGAGTACATCGCGGAGCAGGTTTAAGGCATAATTTCAATGCCATAAGTAACTAAAAGGTAGCTCACAAATGTATTTTTTTCCAGCCCACAAAAAAATAATATTTTTTTTTAGTATTTAAATGGTAGCCAATAGTAACATACTAACATAACATATTACATTACAAAGCTACTATTATAATCTAAGTAAACAAATGTGAAAATGGAAATCACACATGTTCCCTGGAACCACTCATTTGATAGTCATGCTGTTTTTTTTAAATGATAGAGTATTTTGAGGAGCAGGCTTACATCATCACAAAAAATAGAAAATAATTTGTAAAATATTGTCTCTGTCCACGTGAGGTAACATGGCTATAGATATTGTATTAACTTAGGTTACTAAAATTGAGTAATGATGTGGTGGCTATTATTAAAGTGGCATCAATTTTTCATGAGCAACGAATCTTGTATATTATAACGAACAAGTGGGGATATGTGGAGGAATATCCCCTCACTATTATAATTATGAAAACATATGTAGTACCCCAAAACCAATTCCTAATTACTCCACTGCAAGTAATTCGTATTAGTATTTCGTTGTAATAAAATCTAATATCCATTATATATTCAATTTTGAATTTTTTTTCCTGCATTTATCTTACGGCTCTCACACAACACTCATTCAACTTCAGCACTACTATAGTACTATACTACTATATAGTATATACACACTTGATAAGTGGTGGGGCCACCTCTTTAAACATTATATATTTTACAACAATTATAGGTATATGTGTATGCGGATACTATACAACTCGCATAATATATTAACTCTAATTGGCTATAGATTTGAAAGGGATGCATAATCCCTATGATAAAATGATTAATCAATTTTATCTAAGTAAGTACTGCTAAATACAGACCGTGAGGATCTGCAACCAGAGATTTATTAATTTTATCTTTGCCTTTTAATTATTATTATACATTTATACACATGGACACCTGCAGTAGTTGTAACTTTCATGGGCTGACCACTGACGCACATCAAAATATATTTTATAACAGACAAGGAAAACCTCCCCAAGCCCATGCATGATAGATGATGTACGAGTAAATTATGATTTATTACCTACTGTATATATTATATGCGTGTAGTAATCGGGTGTTATACACTGACAGGTCGTAGGTACACACGTATTACATAACACGTATGTGAAGTATATACATAAGTACATAACTATATATTATATATTATATTATAATGCAACTGCCTACTCTAAATATTGAAAATTTATCAGGACGTGATGTAGAACTGTTTGTAGCAATGCTGCAGTGTATAATGTATATATTACCTATACAATATAATTTCTGTGTAAGCACCAAGTGTTGGTTTGTGTAGTTTGAAACATCCAAACAGTTAAGGCCAGCTAAGTATCGTAATTTTTAATTGTGAATAATCTATAAATAATATAGAAATGAAATGCTTTACGTTGGTT